TAATTTAATCAGGCACTTTGTAAAATTTTCAATCGGTTATATTTTGTTAACTAAATATGTAGATAAGACGCTCATACCTTTAGTTCGTGAAAGTAGCAAATAGGTAGCAGTTATAGCATACATACATACTCCTGGAAAATCTGCTCCCTCCATGCTGAACAAAGTGGCGACCAGCTATCCTAATATCGGAATGGCCGGTCAATTATCTTTTAAATTTGTCAGAACATATCAAAGGTAGCAAATAGGTAACAATTCTTGAATATACACTCAGTGCCAGACGTTACAGGCAACCAGCCAACCTGACGGTCACACTTTTTTTAGTGTAGGTTATCTGATTTTACATTATTGTACGAATATATGTGCTCGTGCACGGTTGTGCGCACATCGAGATGATAATAATAACGCACACACTCAACATAGCCCCGCACTAGGGAAACCCTGTGTCGCGGGTGCCATGGACACACACATAGACAACCACAAATGACGCCCAAACTCACGAGAGAAATAAATGTAGGCCATACAAATATTTCTCCCGGCCCGGGAATTGAACCTGTGACCTATGCGTGGCAGTCTGGCATGGTAACCGTTAGGCCACGAAGACAGTTGGGTCATGGATAAATATCCATTTTTATTCGATATTTATCCAAAAACGTGGATAAATATTCTCAATCGTGGTTTATTATTTATATTTAGTAAATCAAAGTATATTTTTAAAACACTTTGTGTACATTTCGCATACGATCACATCAGACTCTGTTCTTCGTATGAGTCGAATTATAAACATTTCTTTTTTATATCATGTGTTTTAATTAATAGATTTCATGTGTGAAATAGAATCCTTAGGCTATTTCAAGTCCAAACATGACTTGTATTTAGTACGCAGTAGACCCCAAGACCATAAAGTTGGGTCGCACTTTATTAACGCAGGATAGGTCAGCTCAAGGGTTACAGTTAATTTCATAACTTTATGTCAATAGAATTTTTTATAAAAAAAGTGTTAGAAACGATGAAACGTTTTGTACCCGACTAAAAATCCTTTTATTGGATATTGAATTGTACAGTGTCGATGAGTTTCTTTTGAAACAATTTTAATTTTATTTTATTCGACAAGCAGTAGTTATACTACTTTATTTTATATTCATTATTATTATTTTGTTACTGACGATCATAGTTATCCCTTGACATTGTATTTCCAATTGTAATATTGTAACATTGATAACATGAAATAAACGATTCTATTCTATTCTATAACACTCGACTCGAAAAACATGGGTAGAACAGTATTGTAACATAAAAAGAATGGCAAAAACGTATTTATTTAATGAAAAATTAATTCTAATGAATTTTCGGATATTTATCGGATAAAAACCCATCTCTACGCGCACATACAAGCCTCGCTGTTATTGGGTACAGAGGGCCCTTGCTTGTTTTTATTCTAATATGGTTATATTTATGCTCAAAACTTAAAAAAAACATGATAAAGCTTATTTGTCAATAAAACTCGTTATTTCTAAATAATGGTATATTTTCAAAAATATCGTATTACATGACCTGCATTATCTATTTACAAAAATAATAATAATAAAAACAATAAAATTAATATACTCAGTGTTACAACCGTATGTTTAGTAGGTACAAAATTAAATTAAAAAAACTACAGTAGAAAAGTGAAAACTTGCGCGTTACATTTTAATTATAATAATTAATATTTACATAAAGCACATAATTGTTTATTACTCATTTACTTTTAATAAAATAATAATTTATTTACGCATCCTATACAACAAATTGTATTTTGGTAGGCCTAAAATAATACTAACCGATTGTATATTTTTTTATTCATATTGTTCTAAGAAGACATTACAAAGAAAACTAAGAAAAACAATAATTTCGTGATATAATAATAAATATACGAGTAATAAGTGGATTTTTAATTAAAGACATCAATGTAACTGTTCTAAGGATGTTTAGTTTCTGGCAGGATAATGTCTTTAGTTAAAAATCCCTACGGGAAAATGTAAACAAGCGCGTTTTTATTGTACTACGTATAAAAGCGATCTGAGCTTGGTTTTCTTATGTAAAAATTTTACACTTCGTATGAAGTTTCGTCAAACATTTTTTAAAGGAATTAGTGAACCTTCTCTTTTAAGTTTATATTCTATCATTAATCTGATAGTTACATTAGTTTCGTTAAGACAACTTTACTGTGACGTGACACATTAGCAACAGTACCGATAAATCTATCAACGCTATCGATACTTTACTTCATGCTAAGATCAATACTGGCCTCATAGGATAAACTAATTTCACTAATTCCATTAAAACTCTTCTGTCGTAATCTTGCCTAACCTACTTGGCAAAATTAGAAAGAACTCCCAAAACACTTTTAATTTAATGCATAAGTCATGGGTTCTTCTAACGTTTGCCGTTACATCTTACTAGCTATTGTTTTTAATAAATCGTTCGCAACATCCCTACGTTATATAATATCGACACAAAAAAGCTAAATACCTCAGTCGCACTTAGGACTTGCACACATCCCCTGTTAAACTAAATTGAACACAATTTTAGAGATCACTAGGGGTGAGATTTCACTACTCCACAGAAGAGAGGTAAACAGCGAAAATAAAGCTCTAAATATTTTTAGAGCGGCAGCGCAGCATGCTAGCTCATGTCTTCTCTTTCTCTCGTTTATACATGTGAGAAAGAGAAAAACGTGTCAAAATCACGAGATATATAAATAAATGTGTTCAAAATAATGACTAGGTTTCTAGGACTTTCACTTTGTTCGAAAGTTTCAAATGATATACTACATATATATCTATCTACCTATTTACTACTTGATTTTGAATACCTACCGAAAACTGAATGTACTTTATACCATCCCACGTAAACAGTGCCAAAACAATATTGTACAAAATAACAACTAGAAATAAAAAGTCAAACACTGAAAAACAAATTTCTTTATATATGCCAGCTAACGATATTTATTTTTATATGGCCTTTCAGTTTTATTTCAATATATTCTTTTAATGGTGAATGTTTAAAATAATAAGTCGAAACTTTGTACTCATTAGTAATTTGAAATGATAATCTCAGTTGTTATGAGCGCGGCAAAGTCAGAGAAAAGGCATTTTCGTGAACGAAATTTCAAATTAAATGTTAAATTTCATGGTCTGCCCTTTATATAAAATATTATGCCATAAAGAAAACAATCCTTATGGTTGAGGCTTTCGATCAGTATAGTAAAACTACAGGTGGTTTTTTTTTTCACATTTCGTGGATTCAATTCCCGGTTCAGACAGGCAATTTAAAAATCTTTGAATGCAGTTCGAATGTTTTAAAATCAAAATGAAGTCTTCTTTCAGTAAAATGTTCTATCGACAGTATTTAAGGTACTTTCTCTCTGTGTGACATAGCCGTGTGACACATGTATATTTTACATATAATGTACATAATATATAGTTTTATTTCAATTGTAATTAATGAGTAAATCACTAATTGCAAATAAGCATATAAGCGAATAGGTTAAGCATGTATTCCTTGTAAAAAAATTTATTTCAGAATAAATGGAAACAATAATCAAAGAATTATTTTTGTCAAAAAAGACTTGAAAGCAAGCAAACGAAGAGTTCGATAATTATCCAAGTCAGCTCTTTGTTCATGTCATGTGATGATGTAATTAAATATGTATTGAATTGATATTCAATTATTTTTCGTCAAAGTACTCCACTAGTTTGTTATAATTATTAATACAAAGACCGAACACTCAGAAAAAATTCCTTCAATCCGGCCGGATTCGAACCGACGTCTCCTAGCAAACTGTACCAACTAAGCCACGGAACGAACCAGCGGACCTCACGAATTTTCCTATGAGCTTGTTGTCGGATCTTTGTATTTGGTTTTCAACGACTTTTTAGCCGTAGCAAGAAATCTATGAAAGTATTTTGTCACTCAGTTGGGTAACTTTGCAACTACCATTCCTGGCTAGAGAAGTCGCTATTATCTGTAATTAAATATGTATTGAATATCAATACATATTTAATTTTAACATTGATAATTGATATCTAATACATATTTAATTACAGTAAATATGTGATGTCTTTCTTCGTAAACTTAGGCGTTGAAAATACTAATGTTAGGAATTATGTGCAAGTCCTATTTACTTTCCTCGTCATCTCTTAAAAAGAAATAGACAACAAACATTCCTTTAATGTGATATTCGAAAATTTCATTATCTTTACTAAGTTCTGGGTAAATTCAGCGCTTTGGTAAAAAAATTGTGTTACAAACGTATTTTGTAAAATTTATAAAAGGTAAAATTTTCGAACACCACAATCTTAACCTTCTTTTAAACTTCAACATCAACACAGTGTATATTTTGTTTAGCTGAATACAAAATCTAATTATACATACGCTTATAATTACGTAAAGATACAGACAGTCGTACTTAGACACTCTTACGTCTTGTTACATATAAAAAAGGAATATCTACATTAATCAAAAATACTTCGATAATTCGTTGGAAGTTGTGCACACTATCATACACATAATTTGAAGTCGCAAATCGTCGCCTTACTTTTTCAAACTCGTATCTTAAAGCACAAAGGGACTAAAATGCAAGTAAATGCAAAATTTGTATATGCAATGGATTGTATATACAAATTTTGCTGGATGATTTCACATCACATTTCCTTCATATTCACACACTGGCTTTTACCTATTCTTAAAGTAACGCATCTAGATTAACTCCCTTGATAAGAAATTTAAAATAAACAGAAAGTTTTGCCTCCTCCTGAATAATCACTCTTTATAAGAGACGAGTTTGAGAAAGCAAGGCGAAGAAATGTGAAAATATCGATAGTTTACAGGAAAACTGTAATAAGACCATCGACTTTATCGACAATTATACGACACTATATTGGAACAGAAATTTTATGAATTAATAAAAGTATGCAAAATGAACTAGGGAGTTTAAAAATCTAATTTGGTTATTATGTATAATATTGGATAAATAGATTATTTTTCATTAGACAGATTCACATTATTTAGTGGCTATACGTTTAGGCATTTTCAAATTAGACGCTTGTAGAAGCGCAGCAGTGCTTTCATAAGCTCCTAATTTAAAAATCCACATTATTCTGAACATGACAATACCATTTGGAAAATAATTGTTTTCGTACAGAGATTGAAGTTGAGCCTTGTTGCGTCTCAATGAAATAAAAGAGAGTTCATAAAATTTTTGTTAGGTCGATGATGTTAGAAATTATTTATTTGACTGTCTGCACAACTTCTTACAAATAAAACGTTATTATTTTTGTGCATTTTGTGGTGTTATTTTGTAGTCTTATTTATTTCCTATGGTTTTAAACCTTTAAATTGTATAATGGAAAATGCATATAATGTTGTCTATTTAGATATTTTTAAGTAATTGAAGACGATGTATAAATAATAGTTGTTTAACAATATTTGTTGTCGTTTCACTTTGTTCCAGTATTAAAAACCATTTTACTTCACTGTAAAATTCAGAACGAAGTGACCATATTTTATTAAATAAATACGATAAACTTTTTATACTGAGTGATATTACTCCTCCCGTCTTCTCTTTGGACATGATTTTAGTCTTGGTATAACAATACCAAATAAAAATAATATAAAAAATTCCTAATTGTAGACTTTAAAGGACAGAATTACTACTACGATATAAAGGCAGACAAATTAATTTAGGACCCCGAGGCGGTAGTGCTAGTGTAGACTTTTGAACATCAAATAAAAGCATTAGTTCTATATAAATCCGCAACATGGCAAGGGTCAGAATATAATTGTTAGCCTTTGTGTTAACATGAGTTCACTAAGGACTTTCTTATTATAACGTGTTATGTATGGTTATTAATAGGCTTTTGCAATTCAACATATGACCCTTTGAATTGTAAATAGTTTGTACATTCTCAATAATATACGAATTAAAAAATGCATTTAATATATTTTTAGAGTTAATTTTTTAAGTACATCATTGGGTCCAATTATTATCACATTTTTCGTCAAATTAATATTATAATTGTGTGTAAAAGTTCTTAGCAAACTCACGTGCTCATACGTTAATAATATAAAAACTACAAAGGTTGTTCGATAATTTAAACTTTCTTAATGGACAATAAAGGAAAGCTGAAGCGAAATTTTTTATACCTATCTACTATGCCATAAACTTATGAGATACAAAATGTAGTGATCACTGATTTGTACGATAAATATTTAATAAAAGTTTTAACTTAAATAGTTGTAGGAGACAAAAACTTTAAAATAAGCTCTTGAGCATGCCAAAATAATCTAACAGGGGCAGTACATTATCGGCAAGGCTCCTGATATAATGTTGTCGAGGTCAATCGTTGTTGTTCTATGTACGGTACTATCGCTTATATTCACACGTTGGTGTGTTTCTAAAAAAATATTTCACTTTCGTTGTTTCACATTTTGAAATTTTGTATAGTCGGTTTTTTTAAAGACGGAGTAAAATTACATTTGCAGAGCACTGGCAATAGCCAGTTTTCATGAAATTTTAAATAGACATGTAGTTATTGTCGACAGTTTTATCGATAAATTGCGAAAGAAGGTAAAATTTTCCTAAAATGTCTGAATAGTGAATGTTACGACGTTCTTTATTCTTATTTTGACAGCTGGCCAATTAGTATTGAAATCAATTTTTATTCATATACATTTTAATAAGAATAGGCGGACTTGATTATGTGTTAAATTAAAATGAAAAACTTTAAAACATGTCTCCTCTTTTTACTTTTAATAAACATAGTTCTATATGCAGTGTATGTATCTATGAAATTATATAAATTGACAATTCTAATGAACCACCACTTGGACGAATAGTGGGTAGATGATGATTGAAATGAAATAAATTCGGTTATGTATTGCATAAGCGTTACCAACATTCCGTGGAAAGTCCATAGAATATTTCGATACCTCCAATAAACACCACGTCAACTTAATTTTTGGACATGTTCTGTTTTTGTTTTGTCTTTTACTTCTTTTTTTTCCCACAAAATTACTTTCTTTTGCTTTTTTTTCGAATTTTGTTGTTTATTGCTTTCTTTTAAATAAAATTCGACGAGCACAATATTAGTAAATAAATATGGTTGTTTACAAAAAAACAGAAACTGACCAAAACATAAAAATGGCGTAGTGTTCTGTGGAGGTATCGATTTATCGACTGCAATCAAGCTGCTTGAAAGCGGGTAACTCTTTCGCGCAATGAACTGTAATTTTATTCCATCTTCAAAAAAGACAGACTATATGTCCGCGCAATCCCAAACTTACCGCCATACGGCAAGCGCCAGAGTGTACAGCGAAGAAGCCGCAAACAACGTCAGACCCTTTGATTTGCGCCCAAATAAACAACGTGACACCGTGAGAGGGACAGCGCGAGTATTTCCCTGTACCCTCTCGCATGTCTTGCCGTGAGTGTACTACCGCCATAAATGGAAGCTCACTGCAGGCTAACAGTAAGCATTATTGTTAAAAACAATCTACATTTGGGAGCGAAAATACCGCTACCACAATGCCCGCATCTGGCTTTTCCGTTTGATGTTAATTAAATCTGGTTTCCACTAGCTTGCCACAAATAATAATAATGTGCTAGATAACTACACCAATTGCCAGGTCTCAAACTAGATTCAAGAACACCCAAACCAGAACCAATTTAGAAAAGTTCATTTCCTGAATTGGTCCTGCCGGGAATCGAACCCGGAACGTCCGCATCCAGCGCCATTGTTAAGGTCACTTTATTGACTTTTGTAATCTACCCTAGATTGGTGATGAGTTTGAGGTGTTAGACAAAAAGGTTGTCTATTAATTTAGGCATTGATTGTTTCTATCCTGATTGGAGTATGACAAATATTTATTGTGATAAGATGGATACCTCAATGATGGAAGCTGACTGATAGCGTGCAAACTGTAATACCAGGAATAGCATCAAACGTGAAAGTCAGCTTTGGTTCTGTACTTTTCTTCATATTTTAAGGTCTAAGTAAAGCTTCTATTTTGAGGTTTTAGAAAGCTTATTTTTAACTATTTACGAGTAAAAGACAATGCCAAGTTCTACCCCATCATTGAGTTCATAACGAATAAAAATATTTAGTTCCAACTTGTTGCGCAACATGTTGCTGGTCAAAGCACAACATTTCTTCAACAAGGTCCATGTACAAAGTTCAACATCTTAATTCGCGCATCCGTATGACCGTACTCCGCTTTAATAAATTTCACTATCTGATTGGCAATTTTCTTAAAAAAATAGAACATAATGGCAGATAGCAATTTTTTTATGATACCAAATGAAGGAACGAATAAGTCGTACGTCTGATGGTACGCGACACGCCTGCAGTTGCAGTGTCACTCAGAGCTTTAAATGGCAAAGATCTGAGGGGAACTGCCACTGTGCTTGTCAACCTGGCTGACAAATGCTATGTGCGTGTGCCACCCTTAACTTTGAAACGCAATAATATAATAACCGGAACGCAATAATGCGCACTTGTCGACAGAAATAGGCAAGACAAATTGGTGGCACCACACGAAATGTCCGAAATCAACCAATAAGGTGTCACGACGTGCCTGATTGGGTAGCTCTTGTCATTGAAATTTTACATTAGTGATATTTAAAGAAAACGAAAAGCGGATAGTTATCTAATTGTAGTTTAGTGTTGACTAAACTACATATTGACGCGGCTTAATTGCTAATGACAGTCTGTAACAGCGTGTACGTAACCCCGTATTATTTTATCATGCTTTTCCAAAAGAAAGCAATATAATACAATAACACATAACATTAATAAAAGCACCTATAAAAATAAAACAGAAATTAAGGACTTAACTATCATAGCAATGGCCTCTCCTAGCGGGTATAACTGAGTAATATACAAATGCCTAATGTAATTTTTAAGCTACGGTATAAAAATTGTTATCGAACATTGTTTTACGAGTTTATTTATATTATGTGTGTTTTCGCATCTAATTTCAATCAATTTATAGACCCCACTGGTGTTGCACAATTATTCATAATTTTACTATCGACTGTCGATGGTCGAGATGTCGACAACATCAGAGTACCTACTAGGAGTTTATAATGACGGTTGTCGTTATAGACCGTGTAAAATATTTAAAAACAAAATGTTACTTGTTGTGACCGCTACGAATGCTGTATGTACAATTTACCGTAAAAAAGTGTGCTGGTAGCGATATCTGTAACCGTAAACATTAGTTTACCATTAGGTAGAGGCACAAGATTGAATATCGATAGACTTATCGATATTGTTACTTGAAGCATCGATTGTCTATTATATTCTATAAATTGATGCGCAGCACTTTTATGTCACCAGGGACCTTTAGGGCTTACGTGACGTCACGACTGTCACGCAGAATGCACATGCACAAATATAAACAAACCTTTATGATTGTTAAATCTTTTGGTAACTATATGTCAAAAATATTCAGAGATAACACAGGGTCGTTACGTACCCGTGCTATAAATGCAGTTATTATCTTTTTAACACAAACTACTGCACTGTGGTATGAGTGTCTTGGAACTACCTCTTCTACTAGCCTCTTGTTCACTTGACATATGATTTAATGTTTTTGATAGGTTCTTTTCACAAGATACACAAAGAGCTGCAGGCTCAAATTGGAACTCTTTGTTGAAAGTACGTAAAAACCCCAACAATACACAAATTTGTTATATAATGTAAGTTTGTCTTCTTACTTCTAGTAAATTACTTCTATTATATGGCACTTTCATTGTAACTTCGTTTCCATATTCTTTACAGTGCCTAAATGTGATTAAAGTGTTGCACAACTTTTGACAGCACTATTACAGTCGATACTTTGAAAACTAATCACACGATGTTAACCGAACTTTAGTGCTGGATTCCAAACATTTTTTATAATCTAAATACTTTTATGATAACTTAATATCAATGATGTAGGAAAAGAGTACTTACTTTTAAAGAGGTCTAACATAAATAGATACGAATTTATACCGGTGCTATCATTGACTTACAAATAAAGTCAATGGGTGCTATATATCATTCTTTAAGTTTGCTATCGAATTGTGACCAGTTATCGAGGTAACAAAAAGTATCGATAGACTATCGAGGGTTTTGCTACATACACTGTCAGAAGAGTAAGTCCGAATTATTTGCCCTTTGTAATGTTAAAACAGAGACAAAAAATTGAAAATTGATTGAATAAATGAACAATTTTGACATATTGTTATTTTCTCTAGCATTTTTTAAGTTCAACTTATAAATGCAATTTTGAGCCTACTCTCAAACCCAAATTTGAGTTCAGATTTGCACTTATTGCTTAGGATTCTAAGTCTTGTTTTCAGAGTGGTTAAAAATACAAATAATAGTTGTTACTTTGCTTAACTATCCTCTAGTAGATTGTGAAGCTCTGCGTAGTTGAGTATGGCACGGTGTAGAAATTCGTATTGCAACTGTAAATGAAAAAAGTATAGTTTTAGGTTGAGAGTGAACAGCAACGTAGAGAAAGGTCGATCGCGACCTCCGTACGATGGAGTCTACTCCCGTCCTCCCTCTTACATCCGCCCGAAACAGTTATTGTCAAATAAGTACAGTCGACCAAATTAAAAAGCGCATGATGCGAATGAAGCTTTATACTTAATATAGTCTTTTGATGTGGTCGATATAAAATTACTTATATTATCAGTATAAAATTACTTATTTATTTTATTTATATTTCAGACCACATAATAGGTTTTTATTATATATTAAGCCTACGTTATTACTTAATAATTAACAATGATTTCGTCCTTTGAGTGAGTTTCTACACCAAAGGACCATTTAAATTTCTCAGATATTATCTTCAAGATACTGTTACTGCTGCCGCACACTCTGTCTATAAGCGAAATTGTTTTCTTACGCCATACCGCGTTGATACCGTATATGCGTGCCTCAAAATTATGGATGAAGTCACAATTAAAGAATATTTATTTGATATTTATTTTTTATTGAGGCAGTTTTAAAGGATTTTAATTCTTGCATCATATAGACTTGTCTAAACTCAAGAACAACTGGATGTGATTCAAAACTGAGCATAAGGAAACATTTACTTGAATAAGGGCACATCTTTTCTGAAAACTAAAATAATAATAATAACATTACAGTAATATAGAAAACGTGGTGAAGTCCAATGATATTGTCAAAGTATCGTGAAGGCGTTGGAACAGAGCGGTACAGGACCGTTCAAAATGGTGATCCTTATTAGACTTGTTAGACATTAGCTGTCAATTTGTGGTGAGGACGATTTTCGCAATACTCACGAAAGTGTCGATGGTTTTGTCCCTCTGTGAGCGCACTTTGCGCGCGACCGTGCTGACGTCGACGCGCCGCTCGGCGCGCAGTTGCGCGATCAGCACGCACAGCGCCACGAACAGCGCCGAACGCTCGGTGCCAGTACTGAGGAAAATAATTTCGTTTGTATACATAAGGTAAATTTTACAAATAGTCACATTTATAAACTACAAGTTTGAATACGTCGTTTATGACATGTACACAACATGACATAAATGACGAATTTTCACACGACAAATCGCACCCCTCATGGAAGAATGGCAAAAGTGGAGTTACGTCAAACATGTTTATTGCTCCATTAGATACAGGAATATAACCCACATCCTCTCCAATTTTTGTAACTGTATGTACACTATTAGTCGATAGAGTTACAACAATTGGAGAATTATATTTTTCTGTATCTAATATCTAATGAATTTAAACGTTTTTGACGTACCTCCACTTATGCCATTCTTCCATGAGGGGTGCGAAATTGTTATGAACCTTAAGGTGTTGCCCACCATATTATTGTGGTGAATTGACCTAATCTGGCGTTTGCGCAGACACACACAGTGATAAACAATATGTAACAGGTAATAAAATATAAACCTAAGTTTACCATATTGTCAACGAAAACTTAAGTATAATTAGAATAATAAATAAGGAAAAAAATAAAAAATGAAATAAAAAAAATGTAAAATAAGAAATACCAACCATATATCTTTTAATTAATTTCATCTTTATTCGTAATCGGTCCGTGGACGGGTCGACAATGTATATATGGATATACATTGTCGACCCGTCCAGAACAGAAAAACCCATCCAAACAAAGTATAGCTGATTTTAACCACGCCATAGAGGTAGACAACACGTTTCGCTAAACAAAATCTCCGAGTAATATTGTCGGAGGTGCATGGCAAAACAAGAAATAAATATCGAGTTAGAAGGTTAGGGAGCTACGAAGAGAATATTGACGTTATAAAGAAAAAAACCAGATGTGGTACTCACTTGCAATGTACGACCATAGGTTGGACATGTTCTCCGGCGGCCGCTTGAGGCGCCGCAGCGTCGGCCAGCTCGGCCAGTCCGCGAGTCACTTCGGGCACGTGGCCAGGTGCCGTGGGCCAGCCGTGGTACTGCAGTTGCCGCACCGAATGTACGTGTCCCGTCTGCAGGCATGACACGGAGGTACAGAGTTATTTGTAAAATACAACCTTGAATGACTATATTACTAACTTATACAACTTTTGTTCAATGAGTTTTAATAATTCATTAACTGCTTCCGTGGCCGAACGGTTATCATGCCGGATTACCACGCAGAGGTCCCAGATTCGATTCCCGGGCCGGGAAAATATTTGTATGGCCTACATTTATTTCTCTCGTAAGTTTGGGTGGTTTGTGTCCATGACACCCGCGACACAGGGTTTCCCAAGTGCGGGGCTATGTTGAGCATATGTGTGCGTTATTAATTCAACTGATTTTGCTATGTATAAAACTAAAATTATTTAAATAGAGCGCGCTAAACAGTGTTTAGCATTCAGGGAATAAGTCTGCAGTCAAGGAATTCTAAAGTAGGTTATTGAGAAAAATATGAGATTTATTTATACCTGAATTAGATTTCTTATAAATAATGGAGTTTTATCTCTCACTCTATTTAAGTGGAAATACGTTTAGGAGAAATGATTCAAAATAAAATTATATTATATTTATATTTTACAATTTTATGAACAAACCTTGTTATTAGTAACTCTGAACTGCCGTCTTGAGTAGTATGGACAAGACTCACTCTCGTCGTACTGCACGGAGATGTGTTCGTATTGCACTGTACCATCGTCCCAGTACCGCGGGCATTTGTTGCCTTCACCCAGCTGCAAAATTATAAATGCGTTATAAAAGTGTCTAGGAAGATGGTCTCAAAATATAGAATCTTAAACTTCGTTTGACAAGTTTTTTAGTTAAAAAGAAAACTACTTTTAAGTTTTTTTATTAAACGTCAGGATATTTCACCATGATATTAAATGATTGATTCAATGATTTTTGTGAAATTACTCCATAAGATTGTTATAGTTATTAAACAAAGATTGAACACTTAGAAAAAATTCACTTCGGTCGGGCTGGATTCAAACCAATGTCTCCTAGCAAAACGTACCAGACGCCAACTAAGCCACGAAATGAACCAACGGACTTCACGAATTTTTCCATGTGTTTGTTGCAGATCTTTTTTAACGACTTTTTTGCCGTAACGCCATCTATGAGAAATCTATAAAAGTTTTTTGTTCATTTGGCGAGGTACCTTTACAGCTACCAGCCGCTGACTAGAGATGTCACTTTAATAATTGTAATTAATTAACTTTTAAGTTCCAGGAATTTCCAGTAATTCTGGAAATGAAATTTCACGTTCAGTTAATAATAATGGTAAGTATCACAAAAAAATTACTAATAATGGAGGACAAATATTCATGACTACTACAAATTATAGAAATGGATTGCAACTACAAGACAGAACTCCAGAATACACGCAATTTCTGGCAGGTAAAAGTAAATTCTATCGATAACTAGAAGTCAAAAATTGTATGCAGAAGTCTAAATACCCAAGTTTGTACTGTATAACAATTTTCTCTCCCGATTTAACGAATCGATTTTTTAGTTTTCGCGATTGTTACACAGGAAATGACCCTTTGATTGAGAGTCAGCCGTATAACTACAGGCCCGAAACGTTGGTTTGTTTGAAAAAATAAATATATGCGATTTAGATCCGAAAAAAAGTTTCATTTCCGATTTAACGAATTTTCGCGAAGGTTGAAGTAAAAATTATTCGTTTTGTAATATAGAATAAGTATTTTCAGTTTTGGTGTCGACACTTTTGATATGTCACTATCAATTACTTACTACGGCAGTGTATTTAAAAGAAAAGTTTTGTCATTATAAGCAAAAATATAGCTGTTTATTTTTTATTTGTTGCCTTTTTTTTAGTAAGTCCGGTATTTCCGATGCATTTATGTGTATTACCAGAAGTTTTGGAAGATATATTTTGCAAGCTCCGATGTCTAGGGATAATAAATGGAATCAGGCAACTACCTCACTAAGCATTACAATAGTGGCGACGCCCTGTTCGGATACCATCCTCCAGAAATCGAAAATAGTGGTTGGCAGCGGGTCTTGAGTAATTATGAAACCTTCAGAGTTGTCGTATGCTGGAAACAGAAATGAATATAGTTACAAGGTGTTTTCGGCTGTGCACTACAGTGACTCAAAATGTGGTTTCAAACTTCCCTAACTGACTAATAAATTACGCCTATATTTAAGACGTTATTTGACAGTCACATTTCCGTTTTCCAATATTAAAGCAAGAGCTGTTCGAGCTCACTTGTTCAAAGTTCACTTATTCCTGCCAACTACATAACCATACTACACTTTGTCGGACCATGTATTTTACTTTTGACACAAGCATGCCTATGAAGTACCCTAGTTATTAACACACAACGATGGACAAAAAATGCAATACTTCACGGACGCTGTTTTTTTACTATAGCAAAGTGACGTACTCTTTATCTCCGATATTTATCGAGCTGACAGATTATGTAACGAAGATTATTTAAGTTGATTTCTGCGATGTATAATAAAATTAAAATTATTTGTTTTCAGACAACAAGGTACATATAAGTTAGGTTTTGGTACCTGTTTAATGAATTATAATGAAAATAAATAAATTATAAGTAATTAAAAAAAAATGTAATTGTTCTGTGGATTCTTCTCCATATGAACTGACGTTCTCCGTGGCCGAGTAGCTTGCGCCCGGTGAATGTGCACCTCACAATTAAAACACACAATTAAAACTTGTTCATAAATAAAATCGATTGTTATAAGAAATCGAATCGGGAACGCATCAGGACATCACTCATCGATTACTACTCGAGCTGTCAAAAGTAAAATAAATGCAGTTTAAGTCTCCTTAAGTGCATTCATTTGCGTCATGAATAGGTCTGTGCTTCTGGGTTTTTCGAAATGTAATTACAAGATTCAAAAAGACCTAAGCTGTACGTGGTACCCTCAAAATTGACCTTGAAGTCCACACCGTTTAAAAATATCTTATGCTTCTGCATGCAGCTATATCTGTTATCTTATAGTAATAGTTTTAGCGGTATGGCAACTTAATTTAAGACTTTAATCATGAATTTACGGTTTTACAACGCATGTTATTTTGACAAAAGAGCGGGCTAGTCGGTGATTTGCTTTACGCTGACCTTCAACAAAGGATGCGTTGATGTAAGTAGAGTAGTCTCTTCCTGGAATGGGCGTCAGCATGACCCTATTCCGGTCGTAGGGCAGGCATTCCTGGTTTCGGTTGCGCGAGCGCACTTCTTCCGCCTGCCCTGCTGCGCAAGATTTCATCACTTCTACTACTGGACTATCGATCATTTTCTGAAAATAAAAACATAGTTTAGAGACCTTACACGTTCAGTTTTAGGCTTGCTCAGTAAATTGACACGTTGTATCATTCCATGTACGGTACACATAGAATGATACAACGTCTGACACATTTGCATTTGGGAACAAAGACATCGAATCATCCTTGAGTCATCAAATATATTGGAGGCTTTTTTTCGAATTTTACATGATATTAACTTGCCACGTATCATTAACATGGTCTATGTTGTTACAACTTGAGCAACTTCTGTTGATTTTTAATTTGTGCATTTAATAACAATAAGGACGGACACTTCGTCACGCTTCTCTCACTGGGATAGGCAGAAATCAAGGTTCATCACTAGCTACGACGCATCAGGTTTCGCATGCAAATTCCAGAAACTAATATTTTCTAAAGGCATTTTTAATACGGTTGAAACACTTTTAAAGTCTATTTCACATAGGATGGATATTGTGACAGCAAGAACTTTTACGTTCCACGCATACTATTTTTAACTAATCTCTGAACCAGGTTACAAAAAAAGAGAAATATTAAGTTTGTTATAATAATATACTAAAAACAAACAATGTCTATTCTGTTGCAGTTGTAAATTTAGAATATTTATCTATAGGATTTATACCATAGAATCGATAAATCGAATCAGCTATTGTAGTTCAGCGGGTAGTTTTCTTTGTTCTTAGCGTTGCGTGATGTTTTTGGAGTTGTGCAAATTTCGTTGTTGTTGTTGTTGATTTTATGATTTTCGTTGTAGACTTTTTGTTAGTTGATGTTGATTTTTTTATTCATCGTGTATTTTAGTAACTTAATAACAATTCCTATGTTATATTGCCTCTTTTTTATTTTGTTTATTACTTGTTCTTAAATTATTATCTCTAAATATGTTCTCTATTTCTAAATCTATTTTTTTCATTCGATTTTTATATCACTACATCTGTAGAAACTGCAAATCTCAAACGTCACCGTACCCATGCTATGTGAAATGAACTATAGTAAACTTTCTCCACTTTTCCTGTCTCATTTTCGGTATAAATGGAACACTGAGCTTTATATCTATTTCTGTATTAGCTGCTAGTGGATATGAAACACCTCTTGTTTTACTTCATACAAACCTCAAATTCATGTTCCATAAGGCATTTATCAGCGCCCTCTGGCATGTTCCTCAGCCGGTCGATGGAGTTCTTCAGCTTGGACGCGGGGATTTCCGTGTCACCGTAGTGAGCGTACTCGACCAGCGCACGATATACGAATACGTATTGTTTCTGTGAATTATAAAATACATTGGGTCACAAATGAACAGTTTTATTGTAATGGTTTTGGGAGAACAGATTTCCTTTTAATTTACTCGTACTTTTGTTATAATGAATATTTATATTTATAATTAACAACACTGCTTAACTTCACCTTAACAAACCAATAACAAACACATACCTGTTAAATGAAAATGTGTATATAACTATAGTCGCACTTTAGCAGCTTTTTTATTGACTTATAATTCCCTGCATGTCGCGAGCCTTTACGAAAATTGTTAAAAATACAATCTATATTTACTATATTGTGACGTCACAAACCTGTGATTGCACAAGGAAGTTTCTCTGCCTGCGCAGCTCAGCGATGGTGTTGAACACAGTGACGTGCCCCGTGGCCCGTAGCTGTTCCAGCAAGCAGTCTAATGCGACGAGTGTCCCCGTGCGGCCGACGCCGGCAGAACAGTGCACCACTACTGGTCGGCCCACCATGTTGTTCCAGGCTTCGTTCACTCGCTGCAGCCAAGAAGAAAACAGTGAGCTACTTCTCGAAATTAATTCGTAATAGATCGCATAAAATTTAAAGGCGGTAGTGAGTTATCTTTTAAAGGCGGTAGTGAGTTATCATTTAAACGTAATCGGGTAATTTTCAGCTCAGTATTTTCGACCTAATTGCGATGGTAATTTTTATTATACAAGTATATTATCGTGAAATAAAAAATAATATTTCAGGATACATCACTCGAATATTAAACAATACTTCACAGTAATATTCTAGAATATTTCAAAAAAAATAGCACCGAAATTAAGTAGAGAAAATTTACGTGAAAACTACATAATTCTGTCTTGAATAGAACTTTTCCTAGCAACATGTATTTTTTCAAATTTATAGATTCAGTGGTGTTGTCTAGTAAAATGAACATAATGTTGGGTATTTTATTTAAAACTTGTATGAAAATTTACAAGTGTCTAAGTTAATTTTCGAAAAAGACAAAATAGCAATTTCTGACTATCTTCCAATAGAATAGAAATTCCTTTTTTCAGACATAGATCCCATGTGATCAAATCTATGTCTGCCGCCAAGCAGTAATATCAGCATTACTGTGTTCCGGTTTTGAAGGGTAAGGGTGCCGGTGAAATTACAGGCACATGGGACTTGGCAACTTATGTCTCAAGGTGACAGACGCAGTGGCATTGCGCCTCATATCTTTGCGACTTAAAGAGCTGAGTGGCACAACTATTATGGACAGTCGTGTAGCTTACGATCAGGAGACGACTTGTATGTCCCGTCACTTCATATTATAAAAAATAAAAAACTCTCGCACTTAATTTAGTTAGTATTTATACATCATAACAACACAAAAGCTATTTATTTAATATACATAAAAACAGATTTAATTTGCCCAACACAGAACATTAGGTTTGGACAATAAAATCTGCCTGCAACTATTTTCAGAACGCCGTTGGGACTATTTCTGCCACGAGCAAAAGCGATACTATTTTTTTCGCATTATCGCTTGGACATAATGTGAATAGCCATGTATGTTTTTTGAAATATAAGTGCGTATTTGACCTCCATCTCACCTGATGGAAAGTGACGTTGAGGTCGACGATGGAGTATGCACACCTAAACAATGCCTATTCACTCTCGCCTTGAAAAGACCCAAGTTATAACGTTCAGGGAATAAGTCTGCAGGCAGGGAATTCCACTCCATAGCCTTTCGCCATATAAATGTGGAAGCGTAACGCTTCGTGCGAATCTTTGGAATATCCACAACATAGGGGTGGAACCCAAGCCTACGCTTAGTCCCCCGGTGATGGAAAGGGGAAGGCGGAATTAAATCGTGTAATTCCATCACACACTCTCCGTGATATATCCTGTGAAATATGTAAATATATATAAATATGTGCGCTTTTGCGAACATGCCTGACGCACTGAACCGTCTCGGCAGGCCCAACGGCATCCTGAAAGCGTTATTGTATGGTACAAATAGGGCTTTGCAAGCAGGTTTCGTGAACTGAACCCACAGGTCACTCGAGTAGAAAGATTGGCTGTAACAACGCCGAAATTACTCAGCCGAAACATCGTGTTGAATCATGTAGGTACAATTTCGTAATAAATAGCGCACATAGCCTCGCGCTAGGGAAACCCTGTATCGCGGGTGCCATGGACACACAAATAGGCAGACAACCACAAATTACACCCAAACTCAGGAGAGAAATAAATTTAGGTTACACAAATACTTCTTCCCGACCCGGGAATCGGACCCGGGAATCGAACCCGGGACTTCTGTGTGGCAGTCCAGCATGGTAACCGTTTGGACACGGAGGCTGTTACATCGATACGCGTGGAGAGAGGTTACGCTACTCGTAGTATATTTTAAGGTTATGGGTCTATATTGTTAAAGCGAATGTAGCTAACATACCTTAATAAACTTGAGTATGGAGTGCGGATGCTCTGGCGCAGCGAAGTCCTTCCACATGAGGAAGTGGTACTGCTTCACGATGCGCGTCTCGCCTGTGTCTTTCGATTCGCGCGGGGAGGTTGGTGCACTTTCGGACGGCTCTTTGATATCTGTCGTTTATTAAATAAATAGTAATGGAGTATAACGTCATGTGTATTTTGTTCGATATTACCATGACGTATATTCAGTTGTACGTACGTGCTGTAAACAATGGGGTAATGAACTAGACCGTCATAAAACTAATGCATTTATAAATGAGGCGTTTCGGTGTTATCTTGTTTTGTACTAGGATGTATGTATGTAGCACCGATATATTTTGAAATTGTTTTAGAAGTTGTACAACTGAAATGCAATAGTATATACCTACATACAACTAGGTGTAACTAATATTAGGACTTTCAGCCTCCCTGCATTTCTGCGTCGCGGGAAAAAATAATCGAGACTCGGTGAGGTCTTGAAAATGCAGGCAAAAACGAGACTTTCGAGACAATTTCAAAACTAGGTGCGTATACTTATATGCCAGGCATTAAAGCAGTCAAAACATGGAATTCAAATTAAGTTCTTCATTAACACATTATACAATAAAAAATAATAAAAAGTTTTTTATTTTTATAGTGGACACGAAAGAAACAAAGGGCGTTTAATGTAATTTTAGACAGATAGGACCTGATTTTATTTAATGTGTTATCAATCGTCACAGATTATACTGTGCTCCACTCTGCAGTGTGGTCGTGTCCATTTAATCGAATAAAAAATTACTGTTGGTTAGTAGATTTTTTGAATACTATTTAATTAAGTGACTTAAATCCGGTAACACTTTGTTCTACTGTTGTTGCTAATGATGGACTCAAGTGGCAACACGCCAGGTAATATTAAACAAACTATACCTTGTGCCAATATAGAGAATTCACTATACTGACGTCCACTTGCACTAAACTTAAGTATGTCTTAAGCCAAGAATGCAAAATACACTCTTAATGCATTATGTTAAGAACGACTTATAAATTTAAGCATTGGTTTAAGACGTACTTCATTTTAGTGGAAGTGGACATGAGAGTACTAGAACAACGAAATTACTCGAGGAACATAACTCGGGCGTCTAAAGTGCTAACTACTGGGATGGGACGTCTTTTATGTACCAGTTAACGTTTTCAGTTGTTTTCAGCCATCGGGTTTATATCCAGAAATAGAGACGAAATAAGGGCCATTAACTTTATAACTTTAAAATATCAACTCTTGTTTGCAGTGAAATCACAAATTAGAAAGCTGAAACTGTACAGCGCCAACAACTGACCTGTGTGTACGTCTCCGTTATATTAAAAAAATATTCTATGTTTATTGTAATAAAGATAATAACTGTGGGGGGCTGTTCCATTCGGTGGTGCGGGAAAAATAGCAAAACATCTAATTACAAAACAAACGGAATCACGTTTCATCGGTAATGAAATATGTAATTTTTCAATTTTCGACACTCGTCAATTGTTTCGAATTCGGGCTGGCAAATCGGAGCGCATTTGTCACAGTAATGATTTGGTAGAATAGTTTTCAAACAAATTAAATGCCATTTCGTCTCTATTTTTGGTTATATACTCGATGTTTTCAGCTTTTATTTAGCATGATTATTGCTACCGTTACAAACTTACCTCCATTTCTTTTCGCGATTCCGTTGTTTTCTACAATAGGCTGTCCGTCGACAGTGGTTGGCTGCTTCGATATTTTCAGCTCCCGAACTATGTAGTCCGAGTATCTAAAAAACGCACACCTTAATAAATTTAGTTTTATTTGTAAGGAACTAATTAACTAGTCGTGGTGGCGTTTCCTTTAGTTTACAAGGTTCAAGACATGTACAATTTTTGTGGAATAATAATTGATCATATTTACTCATTCAAAATTGGTAATTTGAGATGCGTCCGCCTTTTGGTGTCAAAATGGCGGGTGTACTTTTGATATTGCTGTAATTTCGTTCTGATGGAGGTACAATTTTATTTTAAGTAGGTACTAAATAGTACTATTTAGGTGCATTTATTTGGTATTAAATTCGACGGCATTTGTTAAGATACACCCGCCATTCTGACCCTTACCATTTAGTAAGCCTTGTTTGACGGGGATTCATTAAATTAAACCATAGTAGTGTAATATGGAATATAAGGATCGCCAAAACAGGTTTGCATATAATGGCCAAACTTGATAAGCGTTTGGCAATCGAGTTCAGCGGTTGTACCAGATACAATTGAAAAAGAAAGCTTGTGCCTACTTTGATTGTGTCTCTTTAGTTCTATCTGCACAGTAGGGAGGGTGGGTACTGTACACAGAACAATAAACACAGTAGAAGTGTTTAGTTAGCGTCTGACGCGTGCCAACTATAGGTCTCGAAAGACCTATCTGAGCTAGTACGCCATTTTCGCTTTGTATGGTATGGTTGTGTCATTCTTTCGTGAAAATTCTCTAAAATCCTAGAAAAATCAGCCGCACCAAAAATATTAGCCGTGGTATTTTATATCATCGGAAAGTTTTATTTTAATAAATTTTCAATTTTCTGTTTATTGAAATATTTTTTGGTTACAAGAAACGAAAGTAAAGCTTATACTCCTGCATTATGGTCGCTTCTTGTTTGGAGAAATAAATTAATAACTCCAATTCATCGTCGTTCAGCAATGAACCGCTAGATGGCAGGACATTGATTGAAATTTCAATATAATATCAAAACGTCGTAACTTGTAATAATAGGTATTGATGGTACTGAACTTTCAACGATAAAGTTTAAATTAGATTAACAATCCAGAATTTGTTATTTCTTTTTAAATTTGAAACTACGACCAATTAATATCAAGATTTTGTAATGCTTCAAATTAAGAATGTGTGAGTTTTGGCGACATCGGTTCTGATAGTAATCGAGGCTTAAGGCACTTCCATTGCTTTTCTCTTCCGTGGTGCTGTACGTGCACCAGGGGTCGCTCACTCAAAGCACTACTAGCCTTTTGAAGATGAAGTCTGTGTTAACGGGCTGATCTAGGGTCAGGACCTGACTGATAAGGTCCCGGTGCGGGCTTGCTTGCGTGGATAATAGTGCCCTTTCCGTATAACCAAAAGGTTGGGTAGGGCCTTCCCTATGATCAAAACTTAGTAGAAGACATTGTAACACGTGCACAGTTTTCTCACTTATCTACTCTGTCGAGGCTGAGTATAGAAAACCCAGTAGTCTCAGAACGCTCGGCAAAATCTACCAAAATATATCCACGAAATTAAATCTCGTTTAGTGTGATCCAAATTAAAACCTATAAGTCTCGCACATTACGATGGTGCCTGTTGGTATTACATGTTATAGTTCATTTCACACAGCATGATTCATGTTACATTTGAAATATTCTAGAGATGTCGTGATGTAAAATCGAATGGAAAAAAAATCGATTTAAATATCTTATCGAGATAATTTGTAATGAAGAAAGAATCGATTTACAAAAGATAATCTACGAACAAATAAAAACTATTCAATTATTATGTTATTAAGTTACTAAAAAAATTCACGATAAATAAAAAAAATCAACAACAATCAAACAAAAAGTCGACAACAAAGCACAAAATCAACTGCAATGAATCGAAATTTAAAGAATTACTCCAAAAACTTCACGTAGCGCAGAAAACAAGAGAAAACGTCCCGCATACAAGATTTATGCACTCATATTAACGCGAGATACACAATAACCAATTCGATTTATAGGTTTTATGGTGTAAATCTCTAAGGATAAAATATTCCGTTTTACGCATCAACTGATTGGAGTAATTTACCGTTATCTTTTCATTTTCTTTCTACTTAATATACAGTAATTTTTATTTAAAATTACATCTGCAACAAATATTGTTTGTCTTTGGTACATTATGATTAATTGACTACTTATTTTAGTAACCTGGTTGAGACATTAGTAAGAAATATTATGCGTGGAACGTAAAAATTGGAAATGTTACAGGACTCGTCCAATGTGAAATGGACTTTAAAGCACTTTCAATTGGTAAGGGAGGTGGAGGAGCAAAGTAGGCGGTTCGCGATACTTAATCTTGTTTCGGAACCACACGTCATACAGTTGTTAACATTGGCTTACCGTTTCTCAGTGACGTGTTGCACAGTAATGTTGCCGAATGCTCTAGACCCCCTCACTTCATCAGGCCAGTACTTGGAGCATTTCACTTTGGAGTATTCCTCTAAGTTAGTTAACATTACAATCAATTCCAGGCCATGCTCCCATATCATACGCCAGAAGTCGTTCACTGTTGTATCCGTTGGTCCTTGTGCACAGATAAATTTCTTTGGTTCCTGTAAATTTTATTATGTTCTTTTAGGATAACATTTTTTAATTGTTTGTCTAAGGCACAGGCCTACTGCTGAGTCGGTTCCTGAGGTAGCTGCGCGGTGCGGCAGCATTTGAATTGTTACCTGACGACCTCAGTGGCCCCACTATTTATACTGTGAGCGCTGGATGAGGTCCCAGGTTCGATTCCCGGTAGGACCAATTGGGAAATGAACTTTTCTAAATTGTTTCTGATCTGGGTGTTCTGGGAAGTGTCCCAAAGTGAATTCCACTGCTCTGGTATTCATAGTACAGAGAATTCACTAGTTTGAGACCAGGCAATTGGTGTGGCTGCCTGGCGTATTATTATTATATCTTTTTTACTTTACATTACCTTTAATCTTCTAGACAAATAAACAAGAAATTGTGTTTTCTTGAACTTACTATGTATGTTCAGGATTAATAAATGTTATATTAGGATTATTTCTTAGTTCTTCCTCCTGTTTTTATAGTGATTTAACAGTGATTCAATATTCGGCATTCGGTCGAATAAACCGAAAATTTGTTGCAACACTCGTAGTAAAAAACTATCTATCTTATTTGTCACTGGCTGCAACAACGGTATTCGCGAACAGTTTTTATTACATAAGAGAACAAGAACGCAAGTTGACATATATGTATAACGAGGCTTATAAGAAAATAATTAACACAAACATTGCAACGAAAGGAAGGGCAGGGTAGGCAGGGAAGTATAAGTACCTGATCAGTGTCCAGGGGATCCTTAGTAAGCACAGAGGATAGAAAAATAAGTTTAGATAGTGTAGACGGAACACAGACAAAGATAGATAAGACAAAAGACAAAGAAAATCGCTTCTAATAAACAACAAAATAATTATAATATAGTTTTTTTATCCACCACGTACGTAGTTATAGGTTATAACACCGTTATGAGTGAAAAGTCGGCAGAGAGGAGTTTAAACTAAGCTACGATTGTGCTATATGTCTGCTGCAGGCTGATTTTGATTGCCTCTGTCGATCGGAAACTGCGTTTCTTCCGAGTCGAGGCGCATAACTGCGATTCACAACTAGCCAATCGGAAACTTTTGACATTTCAAATCGGAACAATAGTTGACTAAAACTCGGAAACATTTCCGTGGGCAAATAGCTCGCGGTTTCGTTTCCGAGCGAGGAATTTAGACAATTAATTTATTATTTTAATGTAATCCGTTACTCAAACGTAAGGTTAATTTTGTTTTTAACAAAATTTTACCCAAAATGTATCGTTACTTTGTTACTTACAAAGCTTTTTCATAGTTTGTGTGCAAGTAAACTTATCTATTTATTTTCACTTATAATTTAATCATATTTCCTTAATTGAAAATTCCTACCACGGATTCGTTTTACCAACAACAAATTACCTCTGTAAACATTAAAAGTCTATGATCAATGGTCTCCCGATCGATAGAACCCGACGATTGCCGAAGTCTGTTTACGATAGTAGTTGTGAATCAGGTTTATTTTCTCGCTCGGAGATCTGATTTCGAGACTCGGATTGGCTACCCGACCGGCTCCATTCTGATTTGAATCAAAATCAGCCTGCTGGTCTCCAACATAAAGTTATATGTTTCTTCAGTAATCAGTTTCTTCGACTTCATTGCAACAAAATCGTTAATTTTAAGTGAAAATAATTACTTATGTTAATTTGTCAAATAGGTGAAAATCGTTCGTTTATTAAAAATAACAATTTGTTTCTGTAATAATCTGTGTTGTCTAATGTTGTAAATTCCTCTCAACGAAGTCTATCACTAAAATTTACCGGTCAAATTCTGAGTAATAAACGCGTTTAAAATAAATAATAAGTAAAATTTGTCCAGATTGTCGCCAGATTTGTCATTTGTCCGGATTTTGGACGAAGGGAAATTTCCAGAATAAAAAGTACAATATCCACACCGCAATTATGTCCTAAAACTCGATTTATAACAAAACATTTGTTGCTCGGACCTTTGCTGCCGAGTGAGAGAGAGAGAGAGAGAGAGGTGTTTTCGATTTCATTTTGTTACTTAATAGTCTATACCACCTCAAATGGCTTTCATTGATTCCGCATAACAGTGAGAGTATTGAATCAATCACTTTGAAAAAAATATATAGTAAAATTGAGGATATATATTGTATAGTAGTATACAGTGTGAAAATACGATTCCTAACAAAATTTCACGATAGACAAATAAACACAAACTTACATCGAAATTTTATAAGAAAACTGCAGTATTTCCATAGGTACTTCACATATCCCAATGATTTTTTTTTATATCAACTGAACTAAATAGAACACGTATACTATATGATATACATTTTTCAAAAATTTCGTACAAAATATAAATTCTGAAATAAAGTCAGAGTCGCTTGACCCAAGCAAAATGAACCGTATTAGTACGGGAAAAATTTTAATTTGAGCTGAGGTAGTATCGACTCTTAAGTCCGGACATATCAAATTTGTCTTTTTCGCATATCATGTTATGTAATAGAAAGGCACACAAACGTAATGACAAAACAACTGATTTTAATTCTTCACTAACCTTGTAGCCTCTGACGTAGTTGGCGTTAATGTAGTCAGATCCAGTGATACCGTCAATTTGAGAGAGCTTTACTCTAGTTTGATCGAACGCCTTTATGTCTGGGTATCTGTTTTTGGGCTGATTCTCTCTGGCTTCTGACGCGTGTGTTGAACGATCGGGGAAACTCTCGGACAGCATTTGCAGAAGCTGAAAGAGGATAAATTGTTGATAGAATTGTGTTCGTGAGTTGTAGAGTTAGTCTGTTTGTGGTAATTAGCAAAAGTCCTAAAAGTTTAGCATTGTTTGTTTTTTTTTTAATAATGTAGGATTGTAATAAATTTGCATTCGAACACCCGAACAACTGAAACGACGGACCGTGAAGACAAATCGTCCCGCATATGGGGGACGATTTGTATGGGGAACGCAATTTATACAACTTATTTAACAACACACCTCAAATTCTTTTTGGAAGCCATAGTCCGAATCGGCGTGTCGTTCGGCATAAGCGGCGGCAAGGTCCTCCGTCGCGATAGGCGGCATATCAGGCGGGGTGATTAGAGGCACGCGCTGTGACCCTCCACTCAGCTGCTTGCGCACGTAACTACGGACAAACGTACAAATTGCGTATTAAGAAATAGTTACGCATTTTATTTATTTTTCTATCATGAACTAATTGTTTATTCTTTTTTTGTGAGAGGTAAACAAAAAAATTAGTTTAACGTCGTAACTCAAAATTGAGGAATTGAGAAAACGCGATTGAAAATTTAAAAAAAAAATGAATTGATCTTATTGCAAATAACGTGATTATTTTTATTTATACACAATAATTGTAAAAATGTATATATTGGTTTCATTCAGTACCTATCTTTTATTAAATTTTACCGAAACATGTTTTCTCAATTCCACAAATTTGAGTTGCGACAGTATTTGGTAACATGTGGGATATACCGTATTTTTAATTTAAATTTAATCCAATTAGTTTAGTTGCAAAGGTGGAGAAGTTAAAGTTGAAGCGGAATTTCAAAACCGTATCTTCCAATTGGAGAACGATAAATATCGACATGACATGACAAAATCATGACAAAATTGTCATTTTATTTGCGTAATCATATAGTGATCTTTGATAAAAACAAATGAAAGCTGATATTAAGTGTCTGAATTTCTGCAGATTTGGTCATACAGGTTAATCTTCTACTAATATCATGGATATTTACGGCAAAAATTTACTAAATGTTCACTATTGGATGTAAATTGGATTAAATCACTATTGGATGAGTTTAAAGCTAATATTCTGCGTCAGATCGACTTGCAGACAAGCGAAATACTTAATCGTGTGACTAGGCTGGATGAGACTCTTATTGGTCTGCAAAGGAAATACGAGGCAGTGAAGATGGATCTCAACGCCAACGCCAAGGCTATAACCTGTTTGGAATCCGAAAATAGCGAGTTGAGATCTATTGTTACCAGCCTTAGTGGTCGCTTATCTCAGGTGGAACAGCACTCGCGATCCTGCAATGTAGAAATACAATGCATTCCGGAGTTTAAAACTGAAAACTTGTTCAAGACGGTTAAGCAGCTGACACAAGTTATCAATTGCAACATCAATGAAGCTGATATACATTTGTGTACGCGAGTTTCGAAGCTGAATAAAGACAGCACGCGCCCGCGTTCGACTGTAGTAAAGTTTAGTTGCCCCAGGATACGAAATGAGTTCTTGGGGGCCGCCATTGCATTTAACAAGAAAGCCGCTACGAACGCCGACAAGCTAAATAGCAGTCACCTGGGAATCGCAGGTGATAGGCGCCCAATATTTGTGTGTGAGCATCTATCACCTACCATGAAAGGTATTCACGCGGCGGCCAGAGCAAAGGCGAAGGAACTTAATTTCAAGTTTGTATGGGTTAAGGGTGGCAACGTGTATTTGCGTAAGAATGAATCTGCGCAGTACGTGCTGATTAAGTCCATTGAGTGTTTGTCAAAATTAAAGTAATATGAATAATCACTGCATTGAATGTGTTTTTTGTCTGGTCTAGATATATCTCTTTTTCGTTTGTTTTGCTACATCTGCTTAACTAATGAATTAATCTATATTATAAATTTTGTAAATTTGTAAGTTTAAATTAAATTAAATTAAATGAAATGAAATGAAATTAAATTGAATTAAATTAAATATTGTATTCAAAGAATGTATAAACGCTCTAATCCGATTGTTGCAGTTCGCACTCATGGACGCTGTATTATTTGTAAATTATATGATACTAACTAAATACAATTTAATATGTTACTATCAAAACGTTAGAGGCCTTAGATTGAATAACGTACAGGTTCGTGAGGAAATATTGCGAAATAACTACGATATTATTATTTTCACAGAAACTTGGCTAAACAACAGTTTTTTTGACGCCGAAATATTTGATGACAGGTATGATGTGTATAGGCGGGACAGGGAAAGCTCACCTATGTGCAGTTCTAAAGAGAGGGGAGGAGGGGTTCTAATCGCTGTTTTAAAAAAGTATTTATCGCGACGAATGAATGAGTGGGAGAGTGATTGCGAAGATGTTTGGACTCAAATTATATTAAATAAATCAAGAGTGTTAAATATTTGTGCTGTTTACCTGCCTCCTCCGGTATCACAATCTATTCTGGACAACTACCTGGTAAAGTCGTGCGGTGCTTGTGAGAGTGATGGTGAGACAATTATTGTGGGTGACTTTAATTTGGGAGGAATAATATGGAAAGCTGATGTTGATCGGGGCCACAGTTCACCAACTGGTTATGAAAATTGTTCTTTGAGGGGCAGTTTCATAGATTTCATGTCTTTAAATAATCTTGTTCAGCTTAACCATGTCTCAAACAGCGGCAATCGCATTCTTGACCTTGTTTTAAGCAGCATGCCAGACATTAAGATTTATGAATGTACTAGACCACTGCGAAATGGGTAAAATTGACTGGAATGATTTATATGAGCGGTGTGTTGATGTGAATGATATGGTTAAAATATTTTACGAGCATTTGGATAGAATTGTTAAAGAATGTATACCATTATCTTGCAAATCTAAATTTAATAAATATCCAGTCTGGTTTTCGCCAGCTTTGATAAACTTACTAAAGCTTAAATACAAGTATCATGTTAAATTCAAAAAATACAGGAATCGGCTCGACAAGATAGAATTTGATTATTTGCGCGAAGACTGCGATGCCCTAATGCGGGAGTGTTACAGAAATTACATTAATTCAATAGAAACGTTAATACTCAGCAATCCAAAGTTTTTCTGGACACATATTAAAAATAAGCGTAAGAACGGTTCCAATTATCCGCCATCTATGTCTCTAAATAACACTACAGGATATGAAGGAGGTGAGATCTGTAACCTGTTTGCAACTCACTTTTCTTCCGTGTACGAACTGGGTACTGGTGGTGATGTTGATTTGGATGAGGTGGGCATGATGGATGCGATTTCGGATTTAGTGATTGAATCTCACTGTGTGGAATATAAGCTCAAGCATCTTGATTTAAGTAAAGGTTCAGGTCCTGATAACTTTCCGCCAGTCTTTTTTGCAAATTGTGCTGAACAACTAGCAGTCCCATTGACCATAATTTTTAACAAGTCTGTTACTACGGGAATATTTCCTGACACTTGGAAGCGTGCTAGAATTGTGCCAATTCACAAAAATGGAAAAAAGGACTTGGTTACGAATTATAGGCCTATTTCTATATTGTCCACCGTAGCAAAAGTCTTTGAGTCGATAGTATATAGTCATATGTTTAGGCATGTCAAGAATAAACTATCACCGAATCAGCACGGATTTATTAAGAAGCGATCTACGGACACAAATCTATCCCAGATGATGTAGCATTGGCAGTCGATACTTCAGGACAAGTAGATGCAATATATACCGATTTTTCCAAAGCTTTCGATAAAGTTAATCATCGTATATTGATAAACAAATTAGCTCACTTCGGGATTAGGGACTCCCTACTTCAGTGGTGTCAATCATATTTAAATAACAGGTGTTCTAGAGTTGTAATTGATGGTTATAGTTCAGATCCTTTTGTTTCATGCTCTGGAGTGCCGCAAGGTTCAAACCTTGGGCCATTGTTCTTCATTATATTCATTAATGACATTGAAAGATTGTTTAAGAACTCGATCTGCTATTTGTTTGCTGATGATCTTAAAATAATGCGTGTTATTAAAAGTCTCAATGATGCTGATTTGTTGCAGGCTGATATTGATAGACTCATTGATTGGTGTCACATTAATAAAATGTATCTGAATTCGTGTAAGTGCTTCCATATTAAGTTCACATTAAAACGTAAACCTCTCAGTACCCAGTACAATATCTCAGGTGAAACTCTTAAAGAAGTTTCTAAGATACGAGACTTGGGTGTAGTGGTGGACTCCAAGCTTAAATTTTCTATTCACATTGACAGTATGCTGGCCGCTGCTAACAAATCACTAGGATTTATTTTTAGAAATGGAAAGGAGTTCAGGAAGGTTTCCACTACCTTATTACTATTTAATGCCTATGTCAGAAGTAAGCTTGAGTACTGTAGCGTTGTGTGGTCCCCAACATACCGAGTCCATGTTGAGAGAATTGAAAGAGTCCAAAGAAGGTTTCTACGACACCTGGCGTACCGCTTCAGGCCGCCTCATGACGTAAACTGTTACAGTGCCCGACTTGAGCACTTTGGCATGCAAACTTTGAATGGTAGGAGAAATACTTTAGGCTTATGTTTCTTACATAAAATTATGAACGGCATGATAGACTGTCCGTCTATTCTCAATAAATTTGGTTTGCGAGTACCCCCACGTCCGCCTCGACAGCCGCGTCCTTTATTTCATGTCCGTTTGTGTAGAACGAATGTAGGAAAGCATTCGCCAGTCCCCCGCCTATCTAGTTTATATAATCGACTGTCCGGTGAAGATGAAACTGTTGACATATTTTGTGATACATTATATAAATTTAAGGAAAGAACAATTTTGTAGCTTTGGCTTAGGTTTAATTAATTTATTATTGTTATTATTGGATTTAAATTATTATTATTATTATTAATTTTAATTTCATTTTATCGGTAGACATTTTTCTTTTTGTACATTTAAATATACATGTAAGTGCATGCTGTGGTTGCCTATAATTGAAGTTGCAACTATATGTTAATTAATAAGTATTTATTGTTTTGTATACGTTAAGTTGTAAACTTTGTTGGCAATCCTTAATAAATAAATAAATAAATTAACAAATTCACTACCTTTACGTAAAATTCCTATTCAGTATAAAATGCCCCATTTTCGACTCACACTAAAATCAAACACCTCGTTTTGTTAATTAGTTATCAGTAGGGCTAGCACGATAGGGCGCGATTTGAGCGAGAGCGAGAGTTCTCGCATAGACATCTCGTGCTTTATGTCGCTCTCGCGCAAATTGCGCCTTATCGTGTTAGGTGCTCAGTTGAACGGATTCTTGAAATCATGTAAGTACAAAATAAGCAAGTGACACTGTAAGTGCGTCTATGTTTCTGTCATAGCTTTATCCCTCTCTGGTGACGCAGAGAAAGTGCGAGCGCCTAGTTATCATTACAAATAAACTTACTATGGCTTAGAATTTCGGAAGCCGAAATACACATGTTATTACTAAAAAATAGTATGTACGTACTGAATGGCAGTTTGTAAGGGGTTCATGGGGTTCATTTCGAGCTGCGCGTGCGGCGGCAATTTGCGCGAACGTCGCGACTGCATCACGCAAAAGATTATCATCAGCAGTAGGAGGAGAGCCGCCACAGCGCACGTCGCCTGCGAAAAAATTAAGTTAAAGGTAATACAAGGTAGATAAATACAATTTTAGTAAAATCAAATGTTTTTTAGTAGAAAACTTATTTGGGTGGGTTGTTTAATTTTCTATCCATAGTTTTATTATGTATGGCTTATTCAGAGGCAAACCATCATCATTGCATCCAACAATTCATCTATTGTATTCACCACAATAAAACAAAGCTGAAAATGTACAATTAGGAGGAGCTTCAAGTTAATTTTTCTCAGTTATTTTTGTAAATAAACAAAATGTTTCTTGTTATTTTCTTTTTAAACGCTTACGTTATGAATTGTAGTAAAACTTAAACTGGAAATTGTACAACAACTTTAGCAAAATCATAATTTGACTAGATTTTATTAAATTTGATGGGTCGCGCAAATTGTTACACTAAAACATCGAGTATATAATCAGAAATAGAGACAAAAAAGATTGTTGGGCAACACATCAGGCAAATGAGCCTTATAGCACTTTTAAATTTCAACTCTCATTTGCACTGAAATCATAAATTAGAAACCTGAAATAGTATAGCGCCAACAACTGTCCTGTGTAATAATAATAATAATAAATAATAACGCACACACTCAACATAGCCCCGCACTAGGGAAACCCTGTGTCGCGGGTGCCATGGACACACACATAGACAACCACAAATTACACCCAAACTCACGAGAGAAATAATTGTAGGCCATACAAATATTTCTCCCGGCCCGGGAATCGAACCTGGGACCTCTGCGTGGCAGTCCGGTATGGTAACCGTTCGGCCACGGAGGCAGTTAGTGTGTGTATGTATATTTAAAAAACATTCTGTATTTATTGTAATACAGATAATATCTCTAACTATGGGGGGCTGTTCCATTTGGTGGTGTGGGAAAAACAGCAAAACATCCAATTACAAAACAAACGGAATCACATTTCATCATTAAATATTAAATATGTAATTTTTCAATTTTCGTCCATTATAGCAAAGCACTTCAGACATTTCGTCTCTATTTCTGGTTAATATACACGATGCACTAAAATAATATTTTGTTTTGGCGTTTTGTGCAAACTTGTTTCATATCATGACAACGATCACAATAAAGTTCTTTTACATCTGTAGGAAAATAGCTATTTATGTAAAAATACCTGCAGTGCGATTTCGAGTATGGAGGCGGGCGTAGACGCGATGGGACTGGGCGCAGGCCGCAATATGTTCTGGTACTCGCTGTACATCGGTTCTATCGATTCAGTGGCAGCTGTAAGTGACACAAATGTCTGAAATAGCTTTATGGTCATTAGAACAGTTGTATTCATAGTATGAGAACAGTCTTAAATGATCCCGCCGAGGTTGGCGAGATGAAGAAGGCGATGAGGCGTACTATAGTGCGGTTGTTAATATTTGCCTTATTGGGTCTTAAATAACCTTATCTGCCTATCTAGTTTTAGATCTTTATGAAGCGGCGTAGTGATGTAACGTACCATGAGTACCTAGCATACTGATCATTTCATTTTTTCCTCATTTGTAACCAATACAGAATACACCATGAAAGGACAATGCCCAATAATAATACAGTACTGGACCAGTTAACTAAAAGTTGACGTCCGTCAATGGAAGATACAGGATTTCATTTGTATTTTTTTTAAATTTCCATATACTTAGTAATTTCACTCGATTTATATTTTTTTAACTAGGGAAAGTTGATGTTAGGGAGTTTTTTTTTAGGGTTAATTTGAAGTATGCATATAGTATGCAGATAGGTGCATTCGGCTATCAAGCCGTGGTAGCCCAGTTACCACGCTTTCACGCACATTAATGCCAATCTGAATTCTATTTACTAGGTAATAACATTGAAATTTCTTTGAATAATACAACCGCGCGGGTCGCCGCGTACGCCAAAAACGCACAAGCTAAATAAATGGAGCGTACTTTGGCATGACAGTTAAATGCACGCGGTCGCTGAGCGGCGGCAACGCGGTCTCCGCGCCATGAAATTCGTGTCGAATAATTATTCTCCACAAATTACTACTTGTTCTTATTATTATTTTTGCATAATGTATGAAAAAATTGAGCGGCTGGGAAGTTTTGCAACCTATTAAATTTGATGGTGGTGTGGACTGTAAGGCGCGGTTCTAGAAGAAGGTAACGAAAGTCGAATTTACGGCTATAGCATCGAGAAAATAAAGATTAAAAAATAGAAAGAAATATTATGAAGAAAAACTGTGCCGACCTTGAAGTCGTCGTTAGGGCCGTATACGCTGGAGGTGTGCGTTGCTAGGGGAATATTCACACGCAAACAAATCACTTAAAATAAGGACGTGTTCTACGAATATGTCGTCACGTTTTATTATCGTTGAACGACTGTCGTGACTAGCTGTTCCCACTAAATCGTGACGACAATTTATCGTTTCACGACAGCCTCCTTGCCCATCTCTGGCTACGACCCAACGCTACTGTAAGCGAGCAGAGGGCGCGGGGTACGACAGGGGAGGGCAGGGAGCAGAATAAATAAAATGTGAAGACAATAGGAGCTGTCGTCACGTTTTTATCGTGAATTTTTTTATCATCTGACAACAGTCGTTCTAGCTGTTCCCACTGTGACGACAGTTAATCGTGTCGTGCTATATGTGAACAACTTCATTTAAATATACAAGCCACAACACTGTAAACTGCACGACAATCTGTCGTCACGACATAGTGGGAACGCGTCCTAATGCGGTTTTTCAATGAAAAAAATGTCCGTCATCCGCAAGAACAGCGTGGCGTTTCGATCTTCTTTTTTTCTTTTTCTCGAAGTGGTCGCGGCGAGGTTCTCTTGCCGTACCGCGACCAAGCAAATACGAAGCCAGCGCACTCTAGTGGCGACTTCTTATCTTCTATTCCCTTCAGTCAAAGACATTTTGGCACAGTGAAAAAAGTTAGAGAGAAAGATTCGATGTTATGCCTTACTAATGAAATTAAAGTATCACCATAGAAGCGGATATTGGTTTGAATGTGAAAGTTAAATATAGCCAATAAAAATTATATGGTAAATTTAAAAATAAAAATAATTCATGTGTGGTGTTGTAAGTAAAATAACGGAATAAATTGTAAATTTTACTACGCTATTGGAAGGTATGCTGGTACTTATAGCACAGGTTTTCCTTTTTTAAGTACCAGCGGTCATATCTACTCATTCTTTGATACTTACTTGCTGTACACTATGCATGTTGTATTATTTATTTGCCATATAAATTTGTTATTATTAAAAAAAAAAATGCGCCCCAATGGTTTGACTTACAGCCTCTGTAGTGGGTGCGTATTAGCCACATTACCCCTTACTTAAACCCATAACATTTATTTTAGGTATGATAAATTATAGAATGCTAGAAGTGAGACGCAATCTGGCTCTTGTAACTTATATGTTTAGTCTGGTACGGGGAGTAATATACAACCCATTTTGTTGTCCAGGGTAGGCTTTTTGGTACCTTTTTAGAACTAATCTGGTGCTACTTCATGGAATGAGGTTATTTGCAGTACCTATCACACGATAGAGTGAGTGAGATGGCTCCTCTGCCCCGAGCACTTAAGTATCTAAATCAGTTGCTTAACTTTGACTCCTCGTTTGACCTTTTTGCATGCTCACAATCAAAATTCACGTTTTCGGAGACAGCAGTATTAAGTAATAGTTATAATGTGCTAGATTCAAATTGGATTTTATCTATTTTTTCAATAATGTTAATCTGTAATAACTTATTGTTTATGGTATTGTATTTATCAATAATATAATTTATATAATATATATAAATATACTATATAAATATTATATAATTTACATAATAATATAATTTTATCAATTTTCGTATTTTATTCATTTTTGTAATTTACTCAATACTGTTTGTTCATTTAGCTTGAAGTCTTACTATTGCGTTTGGGTTGACTGTAAGCAATATGTAATAAATAAAATAAATAAATCAGGAGTCGCACCTCTGGGTTTCTTGAACTTTGTGTGCGAAATTTAATTTGAAATTTACCACGAGTTTTCGGTGAAGGAAAACATTGTGATAAAAACCTGCGTGTCGTAGAAGGTTCATAACCCTCGGAAAACGTGTTAAGTCCCGAACCTGCCTAAACCCTCGCCTAAGACGAGACCCGTGCCCAGCAGTGGAACGTACAAATGTGTTAATGTAATAGTGCAGTCAAAGCAGATAATGGAGTTATGTGGAGTAGTAGAAGATGCATATCATTTGTTACTGGAATGTGTCTGGTACTAACAACAGAGGGCGGCGTTGATGAGAGACCTGCAGATCAACCGAACATCCTTAGGTGCTATAAATTGTATATTAAGCAATCCCCACACGAAACAGGCAAAATGACTATTACTATTTATTGAATCGGCTCTCCAACAGCGCCGCCCAGACCTGTAAGGTATAGTTTAGGCTACAATGGAACTGGCATATACATTGTATAAAAGTTCCTAAATAAACAAAGATAAAAAATAAAAAAAGGAGATAATGGTATAAAAACGGTTGTAAAAAATGGTATAAATTGTATATAATCATTATTATACACAGAATGCCAAATTCAAGTTAGCAGATTGTTTTAATAACAGATGTTCACAAAAGCCACCTAACGGGCTTACTTTTGTATAAGTCGGTGCAAATTTTATTCAAATAATGTTACTTACGTATTAATTCAACAAAGAATGTATAGTTCGCTTCGGAGTCTAGTGGTCCGTCCTTTGGGTTCACGTACTCCTTGTTGCCCCCACTGGTGTTACTGTAACAATGTTCTTAAGGTCCATTATCTACTAAAGCGGAGAGTATCTGTATTTCATCAAGCAATAGTAATTGATTATCTTGCATCCCCAAGTCACTTAGTTAAAATAAGTCAATACTATTGGTCATTCGAAAAATGCTCTTCCTTTTGGTATAAGATCGATTGGTAGAACGACAATTACACATTGTAGCATTTTAAAGAAGTAACATACGGAACATAACACTTCCAACATTAACTTAGATTAGAAAAAAAAACATTTTCCTATGTGTAACAATCGCGAAAACCTAAGAACTCGGATATACTAATATTATGAAAATTATTTCTAATTTGGATTGTAGATGATTGATTAATGTCTATTACTTGAATTTATAAAAGGACCTTTTACTTACTCTGCATTCCTTTTTCTTCTATCTCTCTTTGCCTCCTCGGGGTCAGCAGTGGTATAAAAATCGTCAACGTCAGTGGTAGTTACGACTTTAGCTGTAGTAGTGGTGTGGTGTACGACAATATGTTGGCGTTCAGGGCGAAGTAAACAACGCTGGCAGGTTTCGTTTTTTAATATAGGGTTGGATTCGTTGTAAAGCCTCTTTCCGTCGCCTATTACTAGGGTTAGGATGCCATTATCTGGAAAATCATCACTGTGGAAAAAAAAACACTTTAAAAACGAAACAATAAATAACATTTAAACTCGAACACGAAAGGAAGGAGGCATGAAAACCTAAGACATAGTCAATGTACATATAGATACAAGGAGTGACAGAGGGGTGAAAACCACGAAATATTAATTACTTTTTAAATTCCGGATTCCCTAGAATTGTTTAACTGCATAAAATAAAGCTGCTCACCTAGGAAGCTGAACTTGGATTTTAAAAACTTATCTTCCGCCAAAATAAACATACTTTAAGAGCTACAAGCAAAAGCTTGTTTTAACCAATTCGCGTCTAGGATTGCTTTAAAATTCAAATTCAGCTTTCCAGGTGAACAGTTTTGTCCTACGATGCAGTAAATACTATTTTCAGAAATCCGGAATTAGAAAAGTAATAAATTAAATATTTTATGGTTTTAATCACTCCATGTCACCCCATGTATCTACATCGTCGCCTGAAAACCTCGCATACGCTTTTTCACAGTTTGTTTTTACTGATTTTTGTTGAAAAAAACTTATCAACTTGCCTAAATATATTATTAAAGTAATATAGTATCTGAGAGAGGTATAATTTAACTAATTAAAATGCTAACTACAAACTTTATAGTGTTTACTACATTTTACACCACATTTTTATCTTTGTCCTAAAAAGTTACATACGAGGTATTCACTCTAAGTGTCGTATTCTAGAACTCTACTCAATGCTCAAGTCAGGATTTGAGCAGATTTGAGAATGATTTCAAGTACTGGAAAACCGACCCTAATGGCAAGGACTGGAGTATGATTTTCAGTGCTCACTGCAATACTCAAGTCCTGACTTGAGTATTGAGTAGAGTTCTGGAATACGACCCTTAGACGTTGGTATGTAGACATTTATATATTCATATCGACTCATCCGTAGAACAAAAGATCTATGTGCGAGACTGCTTATTCTCAGGACATTGTACATTTCGATCCTTGTTCTTAGCTGTGGATATGAGATCGACCGTTGCAAAGCGTTGTGCGATTTTATATTTCCGAAACGAAATAAGATATAAAAATTCTGAAAACACCTATAGATAGACCTTAGTTTGAATAACGAGAATATGTAATTATCCTCTTTTCGCTGTATAATCACATCGGACTCTGTTCTTCGGATGAATCGATAATATGGAACTCTATTTCGACCATCGGACATAATATAATAAGACAAGTATAGTCCGTCCAACGATTTATTTTACTTTTGACAGCTCTACTAGTAATCAATTAGTGACGTCCTAATGTGTTACCGATTTCATTACTTATAACAATCGATTTTATTCATGAAGAAGTTTTAATCGTAATTTGAACTCGTTCAAAAACAATGAATTCGTCGAACAAAGTTAGTTTATAAAAAAAAGCTTTAATTGATTTAACATTGACATTTTCAACACTGTATTAGGTATTAAGAAATGGGGTAACGTGCGACCTCGGCGGAACAGTAAACCTTTACAATTTATTATAATTATTTCAAATTTATTTATTTTTATTATAATTTATTACACCGGTACCAAAACTTAAACAACGAAGTAATCTGTCGGCTGTAGTAAGAAAAACCAGAGTCCATGAAGTATTTATTGCATTTTTTGTCTATGGTTGCTTGTCAATAATTATGGAACTTCATAAACACGCTTATGTCAAAAGTATAATATAATAAATGGTTAGACGGAGTAAAGGGCCACTTCCGCCTGTTCGGCACGTAAATGTTTACACTTCGCTCGGTGCGTAGGGTTGTCACATTCTTATTGTAGTTGTACCTACAGGTTACAAACATATTTTGAAAAAGTATCTATGCATCCGATCGGGTTCGGTCAAGTCGATGAGTTTGACTCTTAATTGAGTTGACGCTAATGCGCTCGAAGGTGACTAATAAAGCCTCGTGCACATTGGGGGCTCGTGAGTACACCGCCAACGTAATCATAGTTAATGGCGGAGGCTGGGGGTGTCTTTATTTCGTCACGTTTAGCATCGAGATTAGCTTTTCGCTGCTCTTCAAACTCGTGGACTTGTCTCTCCATAATCCCCCGCTATATCGGGCGCAGTACTGCCAAATCTTCCCATTGAGACGACGCAATGCTACATCTTCTCATATATCGCTTCTGAATATCTTTGTAACCGGAGGAGTTGACCCCAACGTTTCCGCCTCATTCATCCAGGGTAGTACCGCCCCCTTACTTATTTCTGCTGCTAAGTAGTAATATGAGCATTACTGCGTTCCGGTTTTGAAGGGTACGGGTGCTGGTGAAATTATAGGCACATATGACTTTTCAACTTATGTCTTATGGTGATGGGCGCAAAGGCAGTGCACCTCAGATCTTTGCGATTTAAAGCTCTGAGTGGCACTGCAACTGTTATGGACAGGCCAGTCCTTTACTATCAGGCGCACGACTTGTTCGAACCGTCACTTAGCAACATAGAAAAAAGTTTATGGTTTCTGCCAAAAAGTGGCAGACAGGCAGATGTATAACACAAGAACTTACTTGGTGAATATATCAGTTATGTACGACCCAAGCATGGGTTGTACGGAATGCGCTTCTTCGTACTCTATTACGTCCAATTCTTGAGGAAACTTCATTAGATCTTTCATGTCGTATTTGGGAGGTAAACGGACCACGTGGACTCTGGAACAAATAATATACTCAATCAAAATTATTATTAACAACATTTATCTACACTTATCGCAATATGACGAGTCAATTTTAGATTTATCATTATAACGCTATACTTACAATTTTAGGAGAAATTATAACAACGCTAGTAATACAGTCGATGAAGGTGGCCACTAGCGCACGGATGAACCAGATTTTACGAGTAGCAAGTTTATCACATTACGGATTTAAACACGCGGGCCACTGCTTTTTAAGAAAAGAAACAATTGACAACATTTCAAATTGATGATGGTATAAAAGAAGAAACCATTTAGAGATTTGGTTGTCTTGAACACGATATTATTTTTTTTTTCAGAATTTATTATTAACTAAATTATTATGTTATATTTACACATAACCTTAAAGTAGCCAAAAATAAACGGCAATGGATTTCAAACAGTATGGTTTCTTTCTTTTATTATTTTATTTTTGAATGAATCCGAGATCATACAAAGAGAATTGGGATGTCGCTTGTGCACTACGTCCGATTAAAATCCGAGAAAATACGGATATCGCTTTATATCTAGAGATAAAATGACACACTTGCAACATTTCGAGCCGTCATTTTTCGAGTTCGGAATTGATACGCATCAGACGTAGTACGCAAACGCCCTTATCAATTATGACAGTGAGTGACAGACTTAATCGTTACTTTAGAAATAATTATTGATCTAAAGTTTAGTAGTTTTTAGTAGTAATAGTTCGTCCTGGTTTTGCACACATCACATAATATCAATGAAGATTTGGGACGACTAAGTTTTAATCGACCCTACTTTACTTCATGTTTTGTTTAAAAATAAAGTTATAACCTGACCAGATATACATTTTTTCCTGCGTTCCTGACCTTAATAAAGAGAAATGGTGGTTGCTGCGAGTAAGATCCCAAAAGATTACTCTATATATATATATATATATTATGTGAATTTCATTTAAATGCAAATACTCAAATCTTTACGTACTTTTAATGTTTAATAGCTATTTAGTTCAGGTACAAACATTCGTTGTTTGTGTTTATATTTAAACAAAATTGTTGGCGGCACTTAAGTATTTATAAACCTTATAAATTCATAAACATTACGCTCTGGGGTTTTGCTGCTTAGTATCATTAAACATGCCTTGAACTCACAAAATATTTTTTTTTTTTCAGATAGAAGAGGACCTATTAAATTATAAGGAACGGATATCAAAAAATGTTTATGAGAAATTGCACAACTGCAATTTCAGAATCTGAATGTGCAATTAATGTTTTCTCTACTAATAAACTTTATTATATACATAAATTTTAATAATCTTTCACGGGAAGTGAGTAATTCGTTTTTCATCAATTCTGAAAAAATACATTTTTTAAATTAACAGTTTGATATATATTTTTATTTTAATATGAAAATAGTATAGAAAACTCTTAGACAAGAGTTTACGTAATCTCCCAATCTCACAGTTCCCCTATTGGCCTTAAAATAGTGAAGTAATTAATGTTTAAAAATTCTTTAATAACAAACTGCAATGCGATAGTGATAGACTAAATATATCGATAAATGTAACGTACCTGTAACAGCATAAAGGGCCATTCCTCTCAGGGACCTTTGTCAATTGTGTTTGAAATAGATATTTATTGCTTTCTTTGTCGAAAAACTGAAAAAGTAATGTATATATAGGATTAACCAGGTCGGCAATACTGTTGGTAAGTTTACGCAATATGTATTGCTAACTTAGATAGAAGATAAGAGTATCATGAAGTCGAAAATTTATTTGGAATGAAACACGCCACTTGTACTGAAGGTGTAAAGGATATCTATGTAGAGGTGGCAGAGGAAGGGCTGCAGGGGTTTGAGTGGAGGGCGACCATAGGGATCAGAGAATGCCATTAGTTAAGATCCAGAGAATCGATATGCAGTCGAGGTCCTATTAGGATAATGATAGCTGGTCCTACGAAGTAGTATTCTAATAGCGCTGCTGGTGCTGGTGGCCTGGATAGCAGTAATATGGCTTGGTCCAAGGGTAGTAATAGCCTCCGCAGCAAGTTACTTAGCAAGTTTTAGCAGTTGAAAAGACGAATTTATACAGTACAACAACAATATTAATATCTTAAATTGCAAATGAAGTTAGATGAGCTGTTATATTGGGAACAAAGCCTAATGTCTGTTGCCTCACCGTGGCTACCGCTCATAACAATAGAGCTACAGATCGAGTCGGCTTCTTACGAATTTCTCTGTGACTGCTTATATCTTTTTATGGGGTTTAAATAGCCTTTTTGTCGTGGCGCTACCTGTGTGATACTCATGAGTTTCTTCACTCACCCAGGTACCTTTACAGCCACCAGAAGACTGACAGAAATATCGCTATATTAATTGCTAAATTTATTTTATTGAATATCATCAACAAATATTGGTTTGACTTCACACAAAACGTTCTTTGTTGTTACTGCACAAAATGAAATATATAGCTTTAAAATTGTTTATGCAATCCCAAATTACACATTTTTGTTACATTTTGCATGGCGTGTCAACCACTTTTCTAAATTAGTTGCGATCTGAGTGTTCTGGATAGTGTAGGGAATTCCCTAAATTGAAAAGCTGTATTTTTTTTGTTCTTTATTTATTTAGGGGCTTTCATCGTTATTTAACATATCATTAGAAAAACTTTACCCCAAGAAAACAATAAAATCCAGACAGATAAATCAAAACACTACCTAACCAAGATGTATTTGGTGTGATTGTTTTGCACACATTATTACTATCAATTCTATTCATATCAAAGACAACTTTGTTACATAATTATTTAAGGTAAGTTTGTGGTATGTGGTACTGTGAAAGTGTGTATATAACACATTAACATTATCTTAAATAATATTTAGACTGGTAACCTACCTTGGACCACTTGGCTCCTGGTTTTCTATCTGGGGCAGCAACCTGCGTATGACACACTGCAATCTCCTCCTCACCCCGCCTTCTAGTTCGGGTTACCGCACTCAATTTCACCGTGTATATTGCATTTGGGAACAGTTCTTCAAATCTGTTGAGGCAATTAAAGCAAAATGAAAGTTAATACAATACACTTTTCAGTTTCATCGTGTATGTATATTACATTTGTGTAAACCGATAAAAAACAACACAACAATATAAAAGATAACCTTAAGTAAATTTCTCAAAGCATTGTCTACACGTTTAGTAAACTACAAAGAGGACAAAATATGAATGCTTTGTATTTTTCTTATCTCTTCATTAACCATCTTATTAGAAACGTAACGCCGTTAAGTTGCCTGCCTATCGGTATTCTACACAACATATCACGAAGAGTGTGCAATAGAATTGCATACTTTGATTCCACCTTCCCCTTTCCATCATCGGGGGACTACACGTGGGCTGGGGTTTCACCATGTTGTGGATATTCCCGGGATTCGTAGGAAGCGTTTTGCTTCCACTATGGCTATGGGGTGGAATTCTTTGCCTGCGGACTTGTTCGCCGAACGCTATGACTTGGACCTTTTCAAGGCAAGAGTGAATAGGCATTATTTAGGTGTGCTTGCTACGTCGTCGACCTCATGGTCGCTGTCCAGTAGGTGAGATGGAGGTCAAAAGCGCGCTTATTTGTGTATAAAAAAAACTGAGGAAATTTTCTTACAAATTATGCAACTTTCGAAAATATAGATAGATAGATACAGTTTAGAGTCAAGATTTCAATTTTAAAAAATGTGTATGGCAACTTTCCGAACTTCTGATATCGGCTTGCATCCGTAGAGACTTTTTTTGTGGGATAAAACTATCATTCGTCAGAAAAAGCTTAATCTGTCTGTCGTTCGGAGATCCTTTGTGCTGGCCGGTGGATGATGTTCTACTTTAGAGAGCTTTAATATTTACCTGGCTGTTCTGGACTCGTTACTCATGAATCTTGATAAAGGACCCCAGGTCTCCTTTTTAATTTTATTTTTGTTTTCTTTATACTCTCTTACTCCAGTCAGCTCCATCTGTAAAATAATAAGCATAAGAGAAAAATACAATGAATTATACTCGTATTAGCCAAATTCGATATGGAATGTTTAAAAAGAAAACGTAGCTATAATTTCAGGCACAAAGAACATTTTTAGGTCGTGGGCTCTAGCTCTGCCCACACTTACTCGCCTAATTGGAATTTAAATAAGTACGTAGGTAATTGGGTTATGTAAAATTATCCAATTATTATAAACGGTTACCTATCAGAATTCGAAATTACATTTTCCAGAAATAACGTTGGCTCGAAGTTTCATAACTTCGAAAGTAATTTTGAGAGGAAAATGCTTTTAAACCTACCTTAACCTAACCTAACCGAACCTAATCGTGGCTTTGCGATAAACATCCAACATATCCTGAAAGAACAACGGTTTCGTTATAATTCGGTTTTCGGTGTAATGAAAGTTCGAACAAACGTTATTTCGGAAAAAATAAATTCGAGTTTGTGATAGGTTACCATTATAAACATTGCTAAATTATTTTAACATTTTTTAATTATTTTTGTTCATAGGAAATGAAACTATATTTCCGGATTTAAATCGCGTATATTTATTTTTTTCAAACAAACCAAACGTTTCGGGCCCTTTACAGGTCCCATGGTCACGGTTGACTCGTCATCAATCGGAAGCGTCGGTTTGTTTGAAAAAACAAATATACGCGATTTAAATCCGGAAAAATAGTTTCATTTCCTATGTGTAACAATCGCGAAAACCTAAGAACTCGATATATTTTTGTTCATTTGTCAAAATTACCAATAAGCTAATACGTTACGTTTCGTGAAACGTTAACGCAAGTTAATAATGCGGTTAAATTAAAATGCAGCTATTGTTTTGAACACTGTAAGGGTTTTAATGGTTCTAGTTTATTTACAGATGTACCTATTACAAAAGTGCACAAAGCTCTCGTCTCCCTTCAATTAAAAAAAATGGGATGACACTGTGCCTAAATAATTAATACTTGTAATTATTATGTTGGTTTCGAATTAATTACTAGTGTTTTGAAAATTTAAGCAAAATTCGTCTATAATGAGTCTAATCGAATTTAGAGGAAAAATATTAAATTTGTTATAACTGCGAAAATATCTAAAAATCATATGTTCAGGAACAGGTACTGCGGTATTCTCAGAAGATCTCAATATCAGGAGATCAACACCCTATGGTCACCACAACACAGTATTGCAGACTGAATGTATGGGTATCAAGTTGGCAACAGAAGCAATCATAGCGAGAAGAGTAAAGAATCACTCCATCCGTATACTCTCCGACAGCTTGTCAGTACTTCAAGCACTGAGCAGCTATGACATTAATACAGGGCTTATTTATGAATGCCATCAAGCACTCATGGAGGTATGTATACATAACCACGTAATTCTACACTGGATTAAAGGACAGCTGCTCACGTGGCAAGGACGCAGCAGATATAATGACTAAAAAAAGGTCGGAGACGGACGCTGTAGGACCAGAATCCATAGTGACCCTCCCCTGCAAATGGTCATGAACAACTATAAACAAAGGTACAAAATCTTCTCATAATAACATATGGACAATGCTTACTGTTTATAGGCAGGCAAGGGAAGCACTCCCAATGCTTAACGCCAGCCTATCTCGAAAATTAATCAAACTTAAAAGGCAAGAGTTTCGCACCCATAACTGCTGCCCTAACGGGTTATGGTCCATACAATAAACACCTTTTTAATTTAGGTCTCACAGACAACCCTCTATGCAGAGCGTGCATGGCGCCTACTAGTGCTCCGGCATGGCCAACTACAGGGCAAAGCACCTCTGTGTGCCGAGGTCGCTGCCCCTAGTTTTCAGCAAACGAAGGCGGTTGCTGAGATTCCTGGAGGAGCTTCGGCGGCACGAGTAAGACCCATCACAAGCAAAATAGGCGCCTAGACGCCGAGTTGCGTACACCAGCCCTTTACATTAAGTACCAAGATCATATGTTTTTGTTTGTTGATATTTATTCTACATCGAATTTGGCTAGAGCATAGGAAGTGGTTTCGTAAATTCATAAAGCTCTGTGTTGGTCATATAATTCATGCAACTACCCACTTCTCTGCAAGGATCTGAATCTATTGCCTCTAAATATTCGACGAAAAATCTTTGATATTGCACATATTCTAAACGTTATAAATGGTAATGTTTGCTTTGACTTATTGGGTGATATTTCGTTTATTGTTCCTACTAGTTCTATGAGACACTATCACCCTATTGCAGTTCCCTTAGCGAGGACTAACTATAGACAATAATTTTGTGTGTAGACCTAGCAAGAGCTTGGATAGTGTGCTGAGCAATCATGACCTTAAAGTTGATATGTTCAATTGTAATGTTGATGTGCTAAAGCGTAAACTCTTGGAGATTCTATTTACCTAAGTTTATTAAATAAATTATGATTAGCACAGGTATTGGGTTATTATATTTATGTAAGTGCACGATGTTAAGAAATACTTTTTATTGTTCGTTTGTTTAATGCTCGTGTATGATTTGTTTGACGATATAGGTGGAAACCTGTGGTTGGCTTTATGTTTATATTCCTGTTTTTATTAAATGTAAGAAGCTGTTAGTTTTCCAAGAATAAATAAATAAATAAACTCTACGCTTCGAAATTCACTTGGCTGGTTCATTAGTTTCTTACATGCCTAACACGTTTTGCATGACTACAGTCTGTCTTCTTCTTCTTCTTCTTTTAAATGTTATGGCTCCATCGAAATAATCAATGATTTTGCCAATGTCAAGTAAAAATAACTATGTACGGTAGTTTAATATTATTATAAAAATTATACAAAAAAAATGGCGATTGCGCCAATGTCCTGTGAGAATCTTTCAATCAGAAGTCTTCATTTTTTCTTTGTCTTTTTTGTTTGTTCTTTGTTTTTTTTCTGTTTTTTTTCTTCTTCTTTATTTATTAGTGACTTGGTCTGACAGTCTGTCTTTTTTGAAGACGGAGTAAATTGACATTTGCAGGGTTGCCAATTGTCATAAAATTTCAAATAGTCATGTAGTAGTTGTCGACAGTTTTATCGATAGATTGTGAAAGAAGGCAATAGCCAAAAATGTGAGAATTGTGAATGTAACGACGTTTTAAAGATTATTAATTGCGTTATTGCCTTGATTGTTCTTATTTGGACAGTCGGCCTACCAGTATAGAAATAAATTTTTATTCATATACATATTAATAAGGACAGACCTTTAAAACACGTCTCCGCTTAAATGTAAATGGAGTGTATGCATGTATGAACTTACAAAAATTGACATCCAAACGAACCTGTACACAGCAGTTGGACGAATAATGGGCTCATGATGATTCAAATGAAACAAGTTCGGCGATTTATTACATAAGTGTAATCAACATTCAGTTGACAGTCGATAGAATATTTATTGATTGCAATTACTAGCTGCTTGCAAGCGGGCAACACTTCCGCGAAGACTGTAATTTTATTCCATCTTTAAAAAAAAGACGGACTGTTATAGTTATAAGTGAACTTACCATGTATCCCTTGATCTCAGCGTTTGGTTTTATCGGCGGGCCCCACGTAAGGTCCATCTGTGTCGCCGAACAATTGGCTCTCGGATCGCTCGGTTTGCCAGGTGTACCGTCTAAAGTGGCTGCTTCCATCTCGTCAGACCAGTCCCAACACTTCTTTGTGTAGTCTTGGCATGCTCTTACCTACGTAAATATAATAATAGTAATAATAAGGCACACACTCAACATAATGTAAAATGTAACGAAATAGTAGAGCTTTTAGTAACAGTAGAGCTTACTGTGAAAGAGTTCGTCCGGAGAAGTACTGCCACCTTACCTATTTCTGCTGTTAAGCAGTAACGTAAGCATTACTGCGTTTCGGTTTTGAAGGGTAAGGGTGCTGTTGACATTGCTGGTACACGGGACTTGTCAACTTATTTTTTTTTTATTGGGTCTGGCAACTTATGGTCCATATAATATATAACTTAAGGACTAACATACATATGATATAATATAAAAACTACATAATTAAAAACTTATGTCTCAGGGTGACAGGTGCAGTGGCAGTGCCCCTCAGATCTTTATGATAAGTTCTGCGTAGCATTGCTAATCGAACAAGATGAAAGACAGCTAGGTAGCATTCATATGGTGTATCTGTTTCATATTGCCATTTAAAATAATGACAAAAACCAACCAACAAGGTCAACCGTGACCATGGGACCTGTAAAGGGCCCGAAACGTTGGTTTGTTTGAAAAACAAATATACGCGATTTAAATCCGGAAAAATAGTTTCATTTCCTAATGAAAAAAGGTAACAGATCATATAACCATTGATTTATGATATTGAGCCGTTTTAATATGTATACTTTTCGATTGAAGGCCTTGAATCCAAGACAAGATATAAATATATAAAAAAAATATTTCGCCTTATGCGGCTGGTCTGCCGTTGAGACGATTTAAAAAATTTCCTTTCACTGTTCTATAGATTATGATTATTTTAGTTTGTACATTTACCCCATTGAACAGTATTTCCATAGAAAATAGTCATGGTTCCTACAAGTTTAGACGATTTACAGCCTTCATAAATTTATCGACTAGTCATCAAATGGAAAAGTCAGTTAAAGGTTACACCAACAACTTTTACCTTAAAAATATAAGTGCTGTGAGGTTCCAGGTTATCAAACATATAAGGAAGATTTCTTGAATCTCGTGAATGGTATGCTTTTCTTGGAGTTCCACCGTCTTTCTTTTTAGCCTCCAAAAGATAATAGTGAATAAGATTAGCTATATCTTCAGGTGGGGAAGCCCAGTCAATTGTGACTGAAGTAGCAGAAAACCCTTTAATATCTATTACTGGTACGAAATTTGGTTCCACATCCAATGTTTTGCCGGATTTCACTTTAGAAGTAGCACTTCCATGTTTTGTGTGCACTGTCACTTTTACCGTGTACTCTGTAGACGGTTTCAAGTTGGTCAAAACAAAAGATGTAGCATTTTTTTCTGGTCTTGTGAAGAAATATACAAAACCTTCCGGTGGGGTTGCAAAGCTGACTTCATACTTGTCAATTTCGGAATTGAACGGATCGACAGTCCAGTTGAAATATAATTCTGTCCTGTTTATACCAATGACAGAGTCTATCAAGATTTTAGGGTCGCCATACACTATTAGGTCAACTTTTCCAATGACTACTCCTGAGACTGTGTCGTTTAATTTACATTCGTATGTGCCGTTTTGGTGCGGCACTACCTTATTAATGGCGAGTATGCTTTGAATGTGTGTTTCGTTAATTACTGTAAAATTCCGCGAGTAAGTAGAATCATCTCCAATTCTCTGCCATACTACGTTTTCAGGAATGTTGTAGGCTGAAAAAGTAATAAGAAGGTTATGAAAAGCGTAATTTGAATTTAGAGTTAGATATAGATTATAATTATTTTTAAAGTAAAAACATTAGGAAAACAATGGTATTTTTCGATGCCCAAAAGCATATCCAAAGACACAAATACTGTCGTGCATGTTATAAATAAGGACACGGAAATTATCGATACTTTATGGTATCAAATACTTTTTATCGTTTCAGTAAACTTCCACTTAGTCGAAGGCCTAAAGATTTCAATGTGAATTCTATTTCATATCATGCTAGCGCAATTTCAGCAACAACATTACATTGGAATTTTTTAATGTAACAAATACTTTAATAAAAAACGTTGATTGATTCATTGGTGTTTTATTGCGTCTTAGTAGGTCAAAAATACTTATATATTATTATATATATGAGTAAGATACTTTTTATCCGACACTACTCACGAGTATAGAATCTGCACTTTTGATTGGATATTGTATCCTTAGGTATACGAATGCGTTTGATCTCTCAGCGCATGCATAACAGTAGAAACGTATATGGAGCGCATATGTTATTATGATTGAAATAGAAAAAATATAAAAATTCGAATAGTGGCGTCACATTAAGGTACATACTTTTAAAGACACATTCCATTTTGACACTGTTTTCCTTGTCCTCTTGCGTGGCATTTACATAGTAAGTGACATTTGTAGGAATAAATTCCGCTGGAAATGTGACGTCCAGTGTCACCTTTTCTTTGTGTGTAACATTACCAAGTTTAGCTTCACAAATATAGTCGCCAGTGTTGGCCTTATTGGTTTTGATGATTGTCAATAAGGACTCCATGTATTGAGTACCATCTTCATCTTTGTGTAGTGACTTAGTTATAACAATTTTCCTGTTGGTAGAAATTTTTTATTTAAAATGGTAGAAACTAAACACACTGGCAAATTTAGCGGAACATTAGAAGATCCCCATTTATTTTAGATTTAATTTGAAAAAATAAAAGTCGATTGTCATTTTATTCATTAATTTATAGAGGTCGGTTTTCCTTTCTTGTACATTTTTTAAACTTTAGTTAAGACTGTAAGTCGATGTTAATTTAACTGCTACTGTATGTCGTCTTATTCTTATTTATTTCAATATAAACATTACTATTTTAAATTCTCACTTTTTTGTTCCATTAAATGTGCCAAAATATAAAATTTTTATATTGGTATAACATAAGTATAATTTTTGTTTTCTCTTTTATTTTATTTTGTTTTATTATAATTTCAATGTGATTTTATTATAATATTTCAATTTTCAGTTTTTAATGTTATTTTATTTCAATTTTAATTTCATTTTTCATTATATTTTATTCTATTACATTTATAAATATTAAACCGTAAACTAAC